GGGAGAGAGCCGCGACGCAGAGCTGGGCCGGGGGTCAGTGCCCGGCTGCAGTGCCTGTCTGGGACCACAGCAGGCTGGCCCCCAGCGTGGGCGCATTTCCAGGCTCCGACGTGTGTCCTTGCCCAGTGGACCGGGCGGAGGCTCAGCCGAGGGCCGGGGCCAGGCCCGGAGCTCTCCCCTCAGGCAAGGTCTGCTGGCCTGGGCACCAGCCACAAAGCTCAGGGCGCGTTGGGGTCTGGCTGATGGAGACAGGTGTGACCGATGTGCGCACTCCGTCGTCCTTGTCCTCGCCTCACTTCTCAGCAGGGACAAATGATCAGGGCTTGCCTAAGGTGACGCAGTGAGTAAATGAAATGCTGGAACCTGAACCCAGGACGGCTTGACTCCGCGTCTGTGTGCTGGTGAAGCAGCTGGGGGGATGGGCGCCGGAGGGGCCCTGCCGGGGGCCAGTGCCCCGGGGCCCACAGCCTGCACGCCCTCGCTGGGCTGGTGTCTGCCCTGTGGGCACAGGTAAAGCCCCTGTGGAGTCCAGTGGAGCCCAGACCAAGGCTGGCCCAGGCACCCCTGGTTTGGGAGCCAGTCTGGGTCGTACCCTTTGCCCTTATTCTGGGCATTGCTCTCTGAGCTTCTCTGAGCCTCGGTTTCCTCACTTGGACCCTGGATGACCATTCCTACAGCAGGGGACCAGCTGTGGGAAGGGTACGGAAAGCGGAAGTGAAAGTGTGCTGTGAGCTACGGGCGCCGGTGGCGGTGGTGACGGCGATGGTGACGGAGCCTGCCTGCTGGGGACCTGTGTGTGTGGGAGGGGGGGGACCGCCTCCCTCGCTAGCCCTTCTGAGGGCCCTGGGAAGGCTGGGGGCCCCATTCCTCTGCCCCCAAATTCTAGAAAGTCTTGGAGCCCTGGGCTGTTGAGAGCTGCGGGGCCGCCTCCTCCCGGGGAGGCAGAGTCACCTGTGTCCTTTCTGATCCTTCTCCAAGTGCTTTAATAAAAAACAAAAAATTATTTAGCTATTTTTAAAGAGGGGAAGGGGGGAAGGAAGAGAGGGAGAGAAATACCCATCAGCTGCCTCTCATACTCTCCCGACTGGGGACCTGGCCAGGAACGGGGGCACCTGCCCTGACTGGGAATCAGGAGCCGAACGGGTGGCCTTTCGGTTTGCAGACGATGCCCGACCCACTGAGCCCGTCAGCACTGTTTGAGGGTGGGGGAAAGCGGGAGGCGGGGGAAAGCCGTAGGTTCTAGAACGTAGATAGCGCCATTTTTAAAAAATATTTTTATTTATTTAGAGAGAGAGGAAGGGAGGGAGAGGAAATATCAATGTGTGAGAGATACATCGATCGGTCGCCTGTCGCACGCCCCCGGCTGGGGACCTGGCTTGCAAGCCAGGCACATGCCCTGTCTGGGAATCGAATGGGCGACCCTTCGGTTCGCAGGTGGACCTCAGTCAGTCCATTGAGCCACACCAGCCCGGGAGACAGTCCCATTTGTTTGAAGGCAAACTGAGGGGCCGAGAGGAAGACCCAAGGGCCCCGGGCACGGCCCCGCGGTGACGGGAACTGGAGGATGACAGGCACCCTCCCCTCCCGGGCCGGGGCCACACCTTCCCGGGCGCTGTCCAAGGGCCACTCTGTTGTCAGCGTAAGAAATGTCCAAACCTGCAAGGGGTTGCCACGAGTTTATCCGAGCCAAACTGACAACAATTGCTGGGAAGCAAAATCTCAGCAGACTGAGAAAATGCTCTGAAAAAATGTCAGTTTTACCCCTTATTTCATACATCAGAATCAAAGGGGAGGAGCTGAGCGGGTTCCATGGAATCCATTGGCGTAGGCTGGGGGGGCGGGAGAAAGCAAAGCAGGAACACCTCTGGCACTGGATGGCGAGTAGGAAGGACAGACACGTGCCTCCTCTGCGCTGGGGGTGCAGGGCAGTTAGCATTCACAGCGCGCAGAGGTGGCCTGCGGGGAACGAGTTAACAGCGAGGGTTCCGTGCTCTTGTGCTCCGGTCGGAGGTGGCGCCCTGAGGAGTCTGGGAAACGGGGTTACTCTGACATCCCAAAGGTCTGTTATCACAGATGCAAAACAACAACAGACAGGCTCAGTCAAGGTAAATTAAAGATCGACCTTTGTCCGGGAAGAAACCGGCCTAGGCCGTGACTACCTGCCACGACCCCCCTTTCGTTAGGAAGGCCTAGGTTCCGACCGTCCTACGTGGTTTCTCTGAACTCTGAGATGGTCAGGCCGCCACGCAGGCCTCCCTGAGCGTGTCAGGTTCAGTATGTGGCCCCTTTTTTGTCCACACTGTTCACTCCTTGTTCATTGCGCCTGCTCTGTCTACTGCCCCCGCCGGGGTGCCAGGGGCTCAGGGGCCAGAGAAGGGGCCGCTGGTGCCTGACCTGTGCTGAGAGCCCCTGCACATGCCCGAGGGCCAGGGCAGAGCGTCCTGGGCAGAGGGGCCACTCCGGCAAATGCCAGGAGGGAGGAGGACAGAGGGTGGACACAGCCAGGAGCACGCAATGCTCGGGCCAGAACGGCTTCTGTGGGAAGAGACACCCAGGCGCTGTGAGGACCTACCCTGCCAGGCCGAGGGGCAGGGATCGTGTGCGGCGCCAGTGGCAGCTGTGGCGGAGGCCCGAGTCGGGGCGGCCGAGCCCGGAGAGGTGGGACCGCGCGCCGGCGGAAGGCGTCCTCCTGTGCTTCCCCAGCTCGCAGACTCCACACTGTTGTCTACCGTTTTCTCCAGGGACTCATCCCGAGGAGGACACTCCGAACCGCAGAACTTTGGCCTCGTTAAGATCAGCTGAGCGTGTGTGTAAACGTGTTAAAGTCTCTGTGGGGAGGAGGCCACTGTGGCCGCGCAGGGAGGGGAGCGGAAAGGAGCCTGTGCCGGGAATCAGGGGGGCGCCCCAGCTCGGCTACCCCGCTTGGGGGCTCTGGGCAGGAGTGTTCGTTTCACTGGGACTCAGGCGTATGGGGGTGGAGGGCGTTGATGACCATCTCTTCCCTCCAGGGGGATGGCCAGGCCAGGCCCTGGGAAAGGCTGTCAGGACCCATATGCAAATGCCCAGGGTCAGCTTGCTGCTCTGAGCGAGGCTTCCTGAGGCCCCGTGGGAAGGGTAAGGGGGGTAGTTGGGGTCAAGACACCAGAAGAGCTGCCTGAGGGGAGGGGGCCTGGAGGTGGAGGCCTCAGGGGTCCGGCAGAATGAGGCCCCTGGTGGAGGTCATTCTCGGAGACCTCTCCCCACGGGCTCTGCAGGCCTGGGGCACATGTGGCCGCTGAGGAAGGGAAAACCAGAAGCGTAGAGGGAGTGAGCACAGACCTTCTGCTTTGAGTTCTGGTCCCCTTCCTGGCTGAGTGCTGTCCCTTTCTTGCTGGACCTCGGTATGATGAAGACTAAACGGTATGGGACAAAGTCCCAGCCACAGCAGTGGCAGAGCCGGCTCCCTGCCCCTTAGGGCTGGACCCCAGGGCAGGAGTCTCCGGTCTCCCTGACTGAACTTTGTCACTGTGAGGAGCACCTTGCTTTCCTGCAGCTGCATACTTTGTAACTAATTGTCCTGAGGCTGTTGACTCATCTTTAAATGAGGGGACGAAGAAGAACAAAAGAGGTGGGGGGGGGGCAGGCCCAAGGTCACGCCACAAGGGGACGCCAGGACTCACTGGGGCCAGCCAGCGTTCAAGTGCCCTGGCTCTTGCCCGCTCGGCGGACACCGGCGCCAGCGCCCGGCTCCATGGCGTCTCCACCGCGGCCCCCACCGCCTCCACAGTCGTCGCCCCTGCCAGCCGCCTGCCGCTCCTCCCTTGTCATCACACACATCGCCAGCATGTCCCTCCTTACCTCGTCACCACCACCATCGCTGTTCCATCGCCAGACATGGCCTGCTGCTCGTGTCCCAGCCCCCTCTCTGTGACCTGCTCAGGAACCGCCCGCACTTGACCCCAACGCAGTGACGCCAGCATCTGCCTCGGCATCGGCTCCGTCTCACTGAGACTGTGGCTCAGCACCCACAATTCTGAGGACGGACGACCTGTTAATTCTGCCTGAGCTGCTGGGTCTATCTGTGTTTTCCACCCTGGTTGAGTGTAGCCCTACTGTCCAGCATGTGGGCTGTCCCCTGCTGTCCTCTCTGGGGGCCGTGGCAGGCCAGCAGTGTTCACAGCCATCTCCCAAGGGGCACCGGCTGGAGTCACGCTGCAGGGAGCGATCGGGAGACAGTCCTTGGCTCCATCCGCACGCAGCCTGCCCTGTGCGCGCTCTCTGGTCTCGTCTCAGAGCGAGGGTGTGGGATGGGCGTTGGCGAGACCGCAGCGGTTTCCACGGTGGCTGCACAGGCCATGGCAGTGGTCAAGCGAAGATGACCCTGCAGGACGCAGAAGCGCCTACTGTGTGCCAGATGCTGAGCTGGCACCTTTAGTGATCGTTCAGCCCACGCGCCCCCATCACCGGTCAGACGCACCCTTCCCACCTCACCGACGAGGACAGGCGGAGAGGGGCAGGCAGTGCCCAGCGCAGCTCTGCGACTTCTCAGCTCTGTGAGCACGCGCTTCACACAGGGAGAATAACAGTGCGGTGGCTGAGGGAGTGAGTTCTCTGTCCAAAGGACCTGTGTTCACAGTGCGGTCTTGTCACCGACTCTCTGTGTGGCCCCAGGCAAGGCCCCTTACTCTCTCAGCCTTGGTTTCTTAGCAGCCACCTCCTAGTTGTGGGACTGATGAGATTATGCTTCTACTGTAGGTGGGTCAGTGCCTGCTACCCAGTGAGCTCTGAACTCCTGGGCCAGCCTCAGGCTGGGGCTCTGGACCAGGCGCGGCTACTCTGCTTGCCGCCTCAGTTCCCTCCGACGCCCCCTTGCCCTGGAGAGCGAATGGGTGGAGGATGACGGAGGAGGGCCGCTGCATGGCGGTGGTGGCGGGCCTGGGTCTGTCCCACGCCGGCGGGGCTCTGCCTGGGCACCAGCGCCCCTCCCCTGACGCCTCTTTTTCCAGGTCCCTGCAGACGTGATGGCACGGCTGTGGCTGTCCTGCCTACTGCTTCCAGCCCTTGTCCTGTCTGGTAGGTGCCTCCTTTCCCCCACCAGAGCAGCCCCAATCTGGGGACCCTAGGCAGAACCTTCAGAAGGCGGGGCTCCCTCATCAGCAAACACCCAGCTTCCCTGGCCAGCACCCCCGGCTGGCGGCCCCAGGGAGGAGTCCAGACCCAGGCGGGTGGCTGGATGGGACAGGCGCAGGCTTCCACGGGCCAGGTGAGGGTTCGGGCTTCACAGCGGTGTTCAGATAGCCCAGTGCTCTGTGTCTCTCCAGTGGCAGCCAATGTGGCCCCTAAGTTCCTGTCCAACATGACGAAAGTAACCCTGCCCGAGGACCTACCCGTGGGTGAGTAACCGTCCCTGAGCCCAGACTGTGCCAAGCCCTTACCCACGGCTCCAGGGCATGTCATGGGACAAAGGTGGTCTGAAAGGAGGTCGTTCAGGGGTTTGTTTTAGCCTCTCCGGCATTCGGGTCCCTTTAACCTCAGGCAGCATCCCGACGTCCAGGCTCCCCTGAGTGCGCCTCGCTCCCCCAGGTCCTCCTGTCTGTCTGGGGAGAAGGTGTCCCCTCGTCCCACCCTTCCTCTCACACACGCCTCTCACACTGGCTGATGCCCCTCCAGCCTGCTTTTTTCTTTTTTAAGCAAAAAGAGAGCGGAGGTAAGGCTCAGAGCCCCTCACCAGATCTCGCCAGAAGTTAACACCTTCACTTTGCTCTTCCGGCCTTGGTCAAGCTACCTTGTATCTGTGGCAAGGGAGACGTGTTTTCCATTGATGGGGGGATCTAATGCTTGTTTTAAAAATAAATTCATTTACATGAAGTAAGTTGATTAAAAGAGGGGCCATGAATAATAAGATGCAGATACCGTCAAGTTTGCAACAGGATTCAGGAGTGAATGATGTTTGGGAAACGTTTCAGATGAAGCCGTGGGGCTGGACGCCACATTCCCAGCCGATAGGAATGGGCAGGGGAAGCAGACATGGTAGATGCCTGTACTCCTGGGGATGGAGGGTCAGCTGTGCCTAGTGGACCCCCCAAAACAGAGGTGTTCGCAAGGTCAGGGTTTAGCGTTCTCCGCCGTAGTGGTGAGGAGCTGCAAGTCCAGGGCAGCGGGAGGCTCCCTTCCACCAGGGGTTCCCGCCGCCTGCCCCAGGGTGTGGCCCTCCTCCACGTGGTCCCAAGACGCACGGCAGCCAGTGGGGTTATGGGGGGCGGGGCAGGCGGGCTCCTGCCTCCCTCAGAGGACTGGTTGCAGGTTTTAGTTCTTGAGAACTACTGGCGTTAGATCCTCTGCCCGCCTGTCAACGGCCACACCTTAGTCACCTGCCACATCTAGTTGCAAATGAGCCTGAGGAAAGTGGACTTTGTTCGGGTTGGCCGCGTGCGCTGCTCGAAATCCAGGGCTCTATTAGTCTGTGAGAAAGGGGGTGTGGATATTGAGGGAATTTTTCAGTCAGCAGCGTCAGAATTGGGATCTCAGGCAGCCCAAGCTACCCAGTGAAACAAGAGACCGCATCAAAAAAGTCTCCGCAGAGTCCAGGCTGGGGTTACGGGGTTCAAGGGCCTGGGTGCGGGTCCGGGAGGAAGGGATGGGGGTGGGCGCTGCAGCCACGAGGCCCATGTCCGTTTGGGTGTGGGTGGCAGGACAGCAGAGTGTAGGAAGGGTTACAGGGGTGAAGGGTTAGCCAGGGCCGGGGGAGTCCCGTTTGTCACTCTCTGAGACAGCACAGGCTTCCCTGGAGGGCTGAGGCCAAACTGTTTGACATTGATGAATGTCCTTTGTAGAACAGAGAGGTAACAGATACGTGTTAATGGTATTTACACATGTTTTCATAGCTGTTTGGTCCTGTAAACACACACACACAACCCTTCAAAAAACATCGCAGACACACAGAGCCCAAACCCCTCACGCTCTGCTCTCCTCCGTTCCCCAGGGTAACCCTTTCACGCCTACATTAAACAGCTCAAGTCGCCATCGCAGCTTCAGAGGCTGCTCTTGGATGTGTTCTTTTTGGAGGCTGTGGCTTAACTACTTACTGTCCCTTCCGCCCCTCCCTGGCCAGCCCAGCCTGCACCGAAGGATTGGGGAGAAGGGAGGAGATTGTTGCTCTCGCTGGCCTGGCGGTCATCCAGAGAGAGTCTCCTCTAGGCCAGGTTCCCCGCCCCGGCCTGCCTCCTCCCCTCCCCCCCCTCCCCTCCCCTCCCTACCTGGCCCCAGGCTCCTCCCCAGCACCCAGCCCTCTGCAGCCTCCTGGAAGCTAATTGCTTTATTGTTCAGAGCAAGGTGCCTCCCTCCTCTGCCAGGCCCCATGAGGGTGTGTGGCTCTTTAAAAAGCGCAGGACACCTCTAAATGAAGAGCAACACTCTCCTTTCTGAGATGAAGTCCACAGCCCTCCTGCAATGGGAAGGCATTTCCAATCAGATTCCCTACTATCCAGACGTAGAATGTTCCTACGAAATCCTTCCTAAGCCGAAATGGCATTTAAGCAAAGAAGCCATTGTCATTAGTTTGCATGGAACATTTTTTGAGCATTCCCAGACCCAAAATTCAATGCAATGCACGCAGTGTCTGTATTTTATTATCACAATCAAAACGTTTAATTATGTCCAGTTTTATACAAGCACAATGCCCTTACAAGCTCTCTTAGGCTTTTCTGATACCTTAGGACACGTCTTGCTAACAGATGCACAGGAATAAACCGAGGTAGAGCGCAGACGCTCACAGACACAGTTCAAAGCCAGGGGCTGAGCCGAGATGCGAGGTGCAGACTGCGGTTGCAGGGAAGGAGCTCAGGGGGCGGGGCGCTCTCGCGGTCGTGCCGCTGCCTCCGTAACCAGGCGGCAGAGCAGATGCTGAACCCTATTTTAGCTTTTCACCTATTCTTTTTTTAATTTTCTTTTTAAGTATATTTTATTGATTATGCTATGACAGTTGTCCCATTTTTCCCTCCCCTTTATTTCCCTCTGCCCTGTACCCCTCTCCTACCAGCATTGCCTGCCCCCCTTAGTTCACGTCCATGGGTCGCATATGTAAGTTCTTTGGCTTCTTCATTTCCTATACTATTCTTAGCCTCCCCCTGTCTATTTTGTACCTACTATTTATGCTGCTTATTTCCTTTACCTTTTCCTCCATTCTCTCCTCCTCTACTTCCCAGTTGAAAACCCTCCATGTGATCTGTTGTAGTTGTTTGCTTAGTTTATTTTTGTTTTCTAGGTTCAGTTGTTGATAGTTGTGAGTTTGTTGTCATTTTACTGTTCATAGTTTTCATCTTCTTCTTTTTCTTAGATAAGTCCTTTTAACATTTCATATAATAAGGCCTTGGTGATGATGAATTCCTTTAGCTTTACTTTGTCTGGGAAGCACTTGGTCTGCCCTTCCACTCTACATGATAGCTTTGCTGGATAGAGCCGTCTTGGACGTAGGTCCTTGCCTTTCATGACTTTGAATATTTCTTTACAGTCCCTTCTTGTCTGTAAGGTTTCTTTTGAGAAAGCTGATAGTCTTATGGGAATTCCTTTGTAGGTAATTCTCTCCTTTTCTCTTGCTGCTTTTAAGATTCTTTCTTTATCTTTAATCTTGGGAAATGTAATAATGATGTGCCTGGGTGTGTGCCTCCTTGGGTCCAACTTCTTTGGGACTCTCTGAGCTTCCTGGATATCCTGGGAGTCTATTTCCTTTGCCAGACTGGGGAAGTTTTCTTTCATTATTTTACAAATAAGTTTTCAATTTCTTGCTCTTCCTCTTCTCCTTCTGGCACCCCTATGATTCAGATGTTGGAACGTTAAAGTCATCCTAGAGGTTCCTAAGATTCTTCTCATTTTTTTGAATTCTTTCTTCATTCAGTTCCGGTTGAATGTTTATTTCTTCCTCCTGTTCCAAATCGTTGATTTGAGTCCCGGTTTCCTTTCCTTCACTGTTGGTTCCCTGTATATTTTTCTTTATTTCACTTTGCACAGCCTTTACTTCTTCCTCTATTTTGTGTCTGTACTCAACCATTTCCATGAACATCCTGATTACCAGTGTTTTGAACTCTACATCTGATAGGTTGGTTATCTTGTTCTTAGTTCTTTTTCTGGAGTTTTGATCTGTTCTTTCATTTTGGCCATATTTCTCTGTCTTGGCACACCTGTTATGTTGTAAAAGGCTGAACCTTAGGTATTTGCCACGGCGGAGCAACTCACTTCTCTGTGCTATGGTGCTGTCTGTCGGGGGGGTCCGACAGGGAACAGTGCCACTTGCTCCGCTCTCGCCCCACTTTCTGTCACTTCCCCCACTACCCACAAGCAGATTGTGTCCTTTCGGGTGCTGATTTCTGGGTGGGTGAGTTTTGTATGTTCTAGGACCCTGTGGGTCTCTCCAACGGACTCTCCTGTGAGGCTGGGAGTTTCTCCCGCCGCCACAACCCCCATGGATTTTTACAGCCAGGGGTTTTGAGGCTTTAGTTTCCTGCACTGGAACCCTGGGTTTTGTGGTTTGTCTTGCTCCCCAGTTGTTCCTCCTGGTTTATCCACACACCAGGAATGTGGGACTGCCTGCTCCACTGCCTGCTCCACCGCCTTGCCACGTGTCCTCTCCGCCGCGGCTGCCTGTCTCTGCTCTTCCTACTGGTCTGGATGAATGTGTCTTCTTTAACTACTTGGTTGTCAGACTTCCATACAGTTTGATTTTCTGGCAGTTCTGGTTGTTTTTTGTTTTTAAATTTGTCATTGTCCTCCTTTTGGTTGTGTGAGGAAGCAAAATGTATCTACCTATGCCTCTGTCTTGTCTGGAAGTCACTTTCCACATATTTTCATAGAAGTGAAACCCTCCTATGATTTATTTTTGTTGGCCAGAACAGGCATTAATGTAGGTCTTTCGTAAAAGCGAAGTGGCATAGGGCAAACTTTGGACAAGTGGGCGATACCTGTATAACATGTGTACAGGAAAGCATATGGGCTCACACGTAACCACAACAGAATCAGGGCACAGGACGTTGCCAGCGGCCCCTGTCTTCTCCTCCACCCCTTCCTACCCAAGTCCCGTATTCCTGACACTAACACTGTGCCATACTTCAGTGTTGTCAGACAGACTTCAAAAAAAAATTGACTCTAGAAAGAGAGGAAGAGAGAGAGAGAGAGAGAGAGAGAGAGAGAGAGAGAGAGAGAGAAACATTGATTGATTGTCTCTTGTACAACCAGTCAGGAGTGGGGCCCAAACCTGCAACCCAGGGATGTGCCCTGACCAGGAATCGAACCAGAGACATTTTGCTTTGCAGGTTATGCTCCAACCAACTGAGCCTCACCCACCAGGGCATCAGGCAGACATTTTAAAAAATCTAGAATTATGGTGTTTTAAATCAAGTTGAGTTTAGTGATGAACACTTATAATTCTTAATATACAAAGACCTCTATGTATTTTATTTTTGTAGCTCTTACTGGTTTATTTGTTACACTTAATTTATTCAGGATGACTTTTTAAAAACCATTTTCCCCCTGATACATCGTTTTATACCCACGGACAAATGTATACAGACGAGGATTTTTCACCCACCCACCACAACCCTTATTTCCTTAGGTATAAGGGCCCTATCTGCTTGCATTTTGACATTTCTGAGTCAGAATATGCCTTGTAATTGAGACAGTCACTTAACATAGAGCCACCTTTCCCCACCAAAAGCAGAGATTAAATTGACAGTGTGTCTTACCTGCAAGAAATCATGCAGACAGCAACATCTTTTAAGCAGAACACAGGCTCGGTGGTCTTCCTGGAGGAGGAGGGCTCGATGGGGAGAGGCTGTGGCCAAGCTTTCCAAGCAGTTTCTGAAGGAGCTAAGACTGATCAAAGAAAAGCAGCGTGGAGCACGCTGCTCAGCCTGTCCCTGAGGTGCTGTAGCGAGCACGAGGAGGTGGGCTGGTTCTCTGGGACCCTCGGGCAGGGCCCCCTGGCTGCATGTGCCCGTTGTGGCATTTTTGCCTTCGTGGACCCCTTTTTCCAGAAAAATGTATTCAAATTATATTTTGTGATTGCACTGGTGTGAAGATAAATGTCACACAGGCTGGATTATAATCATTTCTTCTGATTTTCAAAGTAATTAAACGCTCTTGTGTGCCTCTAAAAGCGCCGTGGGCCCTGGGCACCACACCTCGGGGACCCGTGGGTGGGAGCTCTAGGGACATGCGTGTTGAGGAAAGGGAGACAGCCCTCGCCGTGGAGAGCTGTCCAACAGTGGAAGGGGGTGGCCCAGGAGAGGTCGGGTGCCATGAAGGAGGTGAGGCTTGGGGAGCAGGTGTGGGTTTGATGAATCTGTAAGACGTTCCGTTCAGGCTGGAGAGAAGGCGACCTTGGGGTTTTCTAGCCCCCGGCACTGCCACCCCTGCTCGGCCCCAGCGGGGAGTGGGGTGCTCTCTGGAGGGCCCGGGGAGGCCAGCAGCAGACGCTCCCTGAGCAGTGTCCCGGCAGCTTCTGGGCAAGCTCCCAGGAGGAGCGAAGACTCAGAGGGGCCCAGGCCCCTTCAGAGGGCCCTCAGCAGCCCCCGCCCCCAGGAGGCACCGGCTGCTGCAGCCAGACCCCCTAACCCCAGCCCCTTTGGCCTTCTCCCGAGGAATTCCAGGAGGGCCGGGCGCGGGGCCATGCCAGGGCAAGGCGTGGTCCCTGGGTGACCACCCACCCCATGAGCCCAGTGCCGATGGGGTCATTCCCCAGAGGAGAGCAGGGTGCTGTGACCAAAGGCTTCCGAGTGGGTGCTGAGTAGGAAGCCTTGGACCCGAGGCCCACAGCCACGGGCCGAGGCCCTGGGAGCCGGGCGGGCCCCGGTTTCTGGGCGCAGAGAAGTCAGGCCCCTCAGCCCAGCCTCCTGGGCAGCCCGGCCTGGCCAGTCGTGAGGGAGGCGGCTGTGGACCCTGGGCATTCCCTGTCCCGTCTCCAGGTGCCGAGGCCTTCTGGTTGGCAGCCGAGGACCCGGACAAGGACCCTCTGACCTATGGGATCAGAGGCCCCAACGCCTACTTCTTCGCTGTCACCGCAGCCACTGGGAAAGTGGATCTGAGCAGCCCGCTGGACTATGAGGTAAAGGGCAGTGGCCTGGCGAGGCCCGCGAGGGGGATGGGGAGACGTGGGGCCCTGGGAGCCAGCGCCCCAGGGTGCGGGCCCTGGCTGCGCACTCGCCCTGGTCAGCGCTCACTCCAGCCCCTTCTCACCTCCCCCTGCAGACGCTCTCCTGGATCCCAATTACCATCTCCGTGAGCGACGGTTACAACAACCCAGTGAGTGTCGGCGTGGGGGTGGCGGGGAGGGGGTCCAGGAGCCGGAGATCAGGGGACCTGGCCGCTCCTTACTCTGTTCCCTGCTCAAACAAGCAGAGAGAGCTCCAGTTAACAAACAACAACAACAACAACAAAGAATTAAATGTGTAGTTTTATTCAACATTATACTTGTGTAATTTTTGTTACACAATATTACCAAGATCTTAATATTTATTATTAATTTATTTTAATTATATATAGTTTATATTATAACTAGAGCTAATTATATTATTAATTAATATACATGTTAATTAAAAAAAACAAATGCCAAATACCTCCCTACCCAACTCCCCTGGGAGGACCACTTTCCACATCTTTGGCTGAATGTGCTGGTACCAATGCCCTCCTTTCTAAGGACCACTGTGCCTTGTGTCTGTGAAGCTTGGGGGTTTTGTCTTTATAACATATTCCCCAAACCCCATCCCTTTAAAAAAATCATTTCAATGACTTGGATACTTATGAATACGTTTTCTTTGTAAGCATCTCGACAACTACAGATAAAATTCAAGCCTCCTCAGACAACTCTCTCAGTCCCTGCCACCCCCCCACCAAAGTGTCCCCTGCCACTGTGCTATTTCCTGTCCCTCCTGAGCATTCACGCACACGCGCACACCCACACAGAAAAGTCATAGTGTTTTGTGCATTTTCTGAAAGTCACATGAGACCCTACAGTACATATTATCTTTTTAAAAAAGTTGTATTTATTGATTTGAGAGAGAGAGAGAGATTTGTTGTGTCACTGATTCATGCATTCATTGGTTGATTCTGGTATGTGTCCTCTCCAGGGATTGAACCCACAACCTTGGCGTATTGGGCCGATGCTCTAACCACCTGAGCTACCTGGCCAGGGTACATATATTGTCTTGAGTGGTCTTGTCCACTCAGCTCGTGGCCTTGGAGCTCATTCCGTGTCTGTGCTCGAGTCCCTGTGTCTTTACTGTCTCTAATCCAGTGTGGGGACTAGATGTGGTGCTGGCCTGTTCTGACGTTTAGATTGTCCACAGCTTTACATGATGGCAAACAAAGCTAAAATGAATATTCTTGTAATAGGACAGGAACATTTTAGATATTTAAAAGTGACCTAATGATGCCTTGGCTGGTGTGGCTCAGTGGATTGAGCACCGACCTGTGAACCCAAAGGTCACCAGTTCAATTCCCAGTCAGGCGCATTGCCTGGGTTGCAGGCCAGGCCCCCAGTTAGGGGCTCATAAGAGAACCAATCGATCTATCTTGCACACTGATGTCTCTCTCCCTTTCTTTCTCCCTTCCTTCTCTTCTCTCTAAAAATAAATAAAATCTTTTATAAAAAGTGACCTAATGATGTTACAATTTACGCTCAAATGGTTCTGTAAACATGGAAAGAGAGGGAGAGAAACCTGGATGAAGGATATGGCGAGTCTTTGTACTATTCTTGCCATTTTTCCGGCATCTGAAATTGTACCAAATGAAAGGCCACCCCGAACATCGCCTAACTGTCTACCTGAGAAGTTGTGTCCACATGCTCTCCGGCCCCAGTGCCCCTCACCTCGATTTCTCAGGAGCCCACATTTTCCGGGCTTACTGGGCTTCCTCCCCACAGGTGCAGAAGGAATTTCAGGTGATCCTAGAGGACAGAAATGACAACGCTCCTGTTTTCCAGAACACCAATTTCTTCGCCGACATCAACGAGGTAACATCTTCTTTCATGGGCATGTGGGGGAGAGACAGGGGTTGCAGAAGCTCTTCTGAGGGGGAAGGACCGGACACAGCCAGCGGGGGTCCGAGGGTGGAGAAAGCAGCTGCTAGAGGTGCGGCCATAGGCGCCAAGTCCAGGGGATGTCACTCCACGAACCATCGGTACGGCAACACTTGGCAGCAAAGCTGACTGCTTCGGAATTCTTTCCGTTATAAAAGGAATTGATTTTCTTATGTATCTGAAAAATTTAGGGGTGTATCTTGGTTCAGGCGTGGCTGGGTCCAGGTTATTCAAACCATGCCATCAAGGGGTTCTCTCCACCTCTCAGCTATGCTTCTCTTGTTGCCTCTGTCCTGGGGTAGGCGGGCAGTCCTCCCTTGTGGTGACGAAAGTGTCCCCAGCAGCTCCAGGCTTGCTTCCCACCAGCTTTGCAACTTCAACACAGACTGTCTCTTTCTCAGTGGGCCCAGCCAAAACCCCAGGGCTGGCTCCCATTGGCCCATTTTGAGTCACGTGGATATGGAATGCTCTGATTGGCTAGATCTTCATCATGGGCCTTCCCCTGTATAAGGGAAGGCAGCCTTACTTGAAATTCATGGGTGGGGAGAGGTTCCCCAGGGGTCCCTGAGCAGCAGACAATGCCACTCCTGAATCTTCATTGCCAAGTGGCCTTGGTGACGCATGAAGTTAGGTCTCCACACAACGCCAGACACCAGGCTCTGGTGGAGCCCCTCCCCTGTGCCAGGCACTGTCCTCGGCGCTGAGGACACCTGGTGAACAAGACGGACCTGGTTGCCCCCATTCAATAGCTCACATTCTAGTCTAGAGCAGGCGCTAATCAAGGAGACATTAAATAAGCAGCATTATTTCAGATGGTGTGAAGCTTCATGGAGCTCATAAAACAGGGCAAAGTTAGAGAAAGTGACTGGGGACAGGCTGCATCTCCGAATAACTGACCTCTGAGCAGACACCTACATGGCAAGAAGCAGCGGGCTCCGGGAGGCTCCGGGAGCCTCCAGACAAGGATGTTCCAGGCAGGGGAACAGCAGACGCAAAGGCTCTGAGCTGGGGTGGGCCAGGAAGCCGCTGTGGCTGGAAGGAGGAGGGTGAGGGGGCCGTGAGGTCAGAGAGGGGGACAGCCACGTCCCCGGGGGCGATGTGCGTCATGTTCTGAGAGGAGTGGGAGCCGCTGTGTTTGCAGCGCAAGGGTGATGTAGTCTGATTTGTGATGTGCAGGATCCCTTTGGCCTTGGCCACGATGTGTGGAAATAGTGAGGGTGTGGCCAGGGACTGCAGGGCCAGGTCCCAGGTGGCAAAGGCCCCCGGAAAAAACCTCACAGCTCTGCCTGGTGCTGCCAGGAACCGACAGCTGGAGGCTACAGAGAGCCCACAGGGATGGCTGGTCAATGGAGGGGCACCTCCTAGATTCTGGGATGAGCGCTGCAAATCAGAAGCCGGCTCGAGTGGCAGGGGGACTGCGTGGGGAAGAAGGGGGTGGGGGAGACGTTATTCCCTGCCCCCCCCCCCAGCTGCCTCCAGGGACCCAGGCCAGTTGGGAAGGGAAAGGGAGTATCTGTAGAATGCTGGGTTTCAGGCCTCGGAAATGCTGTCATTATCCCTGAGGGACAGTGGGGGACACTGAAGCTCAGGGTGGGGGTGTGATGCACTCAGGCACGAAGGAGATGGATTGGCGCTCATAGGTGACAAGTCCCTTTTTGCAGACCTTACCAGTCGGCTCCTTGGTATTCTCAGTGCACGCCACGGACAAAGACACGGGGTCTGCAGGCCTCGTGCGATACTTCATAGAGGAGGTGAGCGCCGTGTGGGCCCCACCACCCATCATGACCACCAGGGGGCAGCATCTCCCACGCAGCCGGCAGGGACCTGGAGGGCTGGCCCCCTGGGGACCTTCCTGGGCCCAGGGGCAGAAGGAGGATACCTGCTGTGGAACAGGACCTTTCTTCCCGCCCTCTTGCTCTGGGCACTGTCCGGGCCTTTACCAAGTCTGTGTCACACCACCTGGTAGAGGAATCAAGGCCCAGAGAGGTCCAGGGTCTTGTCCACGGTCACCCAGACCGCAGGGGTGCGACCCCAGTTCTGATGAAGACAGGTTTGCTAGCTGTAGCTGCCGCCTGTGGGAGGCCCACTACCTCCTGGGCACATACCTTAGCTCATTTGACCCTCCTTTCAACCCACTGAGGCAAATATCTGAGCCCACTTCCCAGAGGAAAACGAGGCTAAGAAACTGAGGCTCTGAGAGGTTAGTGCCCTGGTGAGGTTCGACTGCAGGTCCCTCAGAGCAGGTGCCGGGGGCAGGGCCGTCGGGAGCTCGGCCTGACTGTGCTCTGCCTCAGGTCATCCCGAGCACCGGGGACAGCAAGTACCTCTTCAAGATCCTGTCCAACGGCTCCATCATCCTCAATGGCAGCCTCAGCTACAACAACAAGAGTGCTTCCTACCAGCTGAAACTGAAAGCCTGTGTGAGTGGGGGTGGGGCGCAGGCGCAGCTGGGGGCTGGCTGGAGCCTGCGGCCCTCGCTCATGGCGGCCTCTCTTCCCTACAGGACTCGGGCGGCATCTACAACAACGTTTTCGTCACCCAGTGCTCCGCCCCTGTCTTCCTGTCTTTCTCTGTGGTCGACGAGCCGGACCTGGACCCCCAGTTTGTCAGGGAGTCCTACTCGGCCTCTGTGGCTGAGGACGCACCCCAGGTGTGCCGGCGCCCCAGGGTGGGGGTCTAGGAGGAGGGGAGAGATGGAGAGAAGGCCTGAGCCGCTGACCATGCCCCCTTGCAGGGAACCTCGGTGCTGAAGGTGGAGGCTGTGGATAGGGACAGAGGCGTCAATGACGCGGTGACCTACACTATCTCCAGTGAGAATGAGGGTGGCCCTGGCGGGGGATGGGGTCGTAGAAGGGGCGGGGGTCAGTCAGAGCCACTGCAAACAGCTGCTCCTGCTGCCTCTTGCCAGACTCCACGAGGCCCGGCTGGTTTGACATCGGGCCAGACGGGGTGATCAGTGTCAGCGGCGCCCTAGACCGGGAGCAGCTGCTGGAGGAGGGCGAGGAGGTGCAGGTGCAGGTCACGGTGAGTGAGGGGCCCATCGCCCTCTTCCCTCGCCCACTCTCTAACCTCTGACCTTTGACCTCAGCCCTCTCTGAGCCCTGGTTCCTGACCTCTGGCTTCTGCTCTGCTCTCAGGCCACCGAGGTGCACCCCAACATCTACGGGCAGGAAGCCAAGGTGAGCACATGGGTCACGCTGAGGGTGACAGACGTCAATGACCACAAACCTGAGTTTTTCAACTGCAGTCTCCCGGCCTGCACCTTCACCCCCCAAGAAGCCCAAGTCGACTTTGCCGGCTCTGTGGACGAGCACTCCTCCGCCCGCATCCCCATCGACGGCCTCACCATGGTGGTCCACGACCCAGACAAGGCAGGCGCGCCCCAGCGGCGGGCGGCAGGGCGGGGGCGGGCGGGAGGCGGCCGGGGCGGGAGGCCCCTCGGGGCGCGGTGGGGGCTGCGTGGAGGGCGACGGCAGTGCCAGTCGTGAGTGGTGGGGAAAATCAGGTTGTGGGGCGCTATCTGGAAATGTCGGGGGATGTTCGCTGGTGGGCGGTCTTGCGCTCGGGGTGGTGCCAGGTGGTGGTGCACAGGAAGGGGCTGAGTGGAGGCTGGTGCTGGATGCCGGTAATTTTGAGTGGAATGCAGCTTTCGGTGGTGGGGGGGGTCGGGGTGGGCGTGGGTGAGGCTGAGGGGTGTTGGGAGAGCACTGGCTATGGGAGCGCGTGGGCGGCGTTGAGCCCAGCGCGGCCTGAGAGGGTGTTAGGTTGCGGAGTGTTCCTTGGTGGAGGGTGACACTGAGCGGCGGGTGGCTTGGACAGCAGTGAATGACGACTCGCTATGGATGCTTTTGGTCGTATCGGTGATGTGGAGTTGGTACAAGAGGAGGAGCGGGGCGGAGGGTGACATTGGGTGCTGGTGGCCGGGTCTATGTGCTGAGTTGTGGCTGTCGTTTAGAGGAGTGGAGGGGCTGTGAGTGATAGGGAGATGCTGGGTGTTGGTGGTGCGGGTGCCGGGATGGGTGGTGGAGGCGGGTGAGCGGTGGCTGGAAAGGAAGGCTCCACGCGGTGCTTCATGGGAGGGAGGGCGCATCGGGGCTCTGCCCCCGCAGCCCAGACCTGCGACCCACGGCACCCGGCGGGTTCTTCTGACGAGCCCCCACGCGCAGGGACTGGTGCTCGGCCCCGTCTCCCAGGGCCTGGTGCCTCGGTTTTTTGAGAGCCCCTCTTGCGTGGGCCTCAGGGGGCAGGGTTTCCTAAGGCAGGGACCTGAGGGCCGGACCATGGGCAGAGGTGTGTGTGTGGGCGGGGGTGTTGCAGGGGTGGGGTCTCTTTACTACACAGCTCACCTCTACAGGGCAACAACGGCACCTTCCTGCTGTTCCTGAGGGGCCCCGACGCCGCAGCCTTCAGCGTCTCCCCCGAGAAGGCCTCGGGCTCTGTGGACGTGCAGGTGCTGGTGAGCACCCCGGCGCTGGTGGACTACGAGGAGAAGACGGTGATGCTGGTGCAGGTGCGCAGCGCCCCAGGGCCCCAGGGCGCGTGGGCTGTGGGGTGCTCTGGTCCCAAGGCTGCTGCCCCCTCCCTGTCCTCAGGTTGAGGCCATTGACTCCGTCAGTAGGAACTCCTCCGTCGCCTCGGTGACTATCCACCTTAGAGACATCAATGACCACAGGCCCACATTCCCTCACAGCCAGTACAACCTCACTGTCTTAGAGCACAGTGACAAAGGCACGGTGGTCACCAACAGCATCCAGGTGAGCGATGGGGACAGGGTTGGGCCAGGCTGGGGTGGCCGGGAAGGGCTGACTGCGGACTGTGGCCCTGTCCAAGCCTCTGTGTCGCCAGATGTCTCTGGGTTTCAGCAAGTGCGAATGTGTATGAGCGCGTATGGGGGCATCTAGTGTGGATCTGTGTCGGGGGGTCCCCGCTTTGTATCAGGAAGCAGACCATCCCGGTCCCCATCCACTGTGCAGTTGGCAGTGAGCGCCGTCACTGCGAACAGGGTGCTGCCATCTGTCCCTCTGCCTCACAGGCCTTTGACCCTGACACGGGCGAGAGGGGCCGCATCACCTACAGCCTGCTTCCCGGGCCTGGGTAAGGTCTCAGGGCGGCGGGGGTGCGGGCTGGCCAGATAAAATACAGGACTCTCGGTCATGCTGCAATTTCAGATAAACAGTGAATAATATTTTCTTTAGTATAAGTAGGTTGCAAATATTCGATGGGACATGGTACAATATTTTTCTTTTTTCTTAACGATTTTATTTATTTATTTATTTTTAGAGAGGGGGAAGGGAGGGAGAAAGAGAGGGAGAGAAACGTCAGTGTATGGTTGCCGCTCACGTGCCCCGTATTGGGGACCTGGCCCACAACCCAGGCATGTGCCCTGACTAGGAATCGAACCAGCGACCCTTTGGTGTGCAGGCTGGCAGCCAATCCATTGAGCGACACCAGCCAGGGCAATATCTTCCACTGTTTAGTTGAATTTCAAATTAAGTGGGCATCCTGTCTTTTTATTTGCTCCATCCGCGTACCCTGCACAGGACAGATATTTTTGCGGTGGATCCAGACTCAGGGACAGTGACGGTGAAAAACAAAGAGCTGCTGGACAGGGAGACGCAGGCCGTGTACTACCTCACGCTGCAGGCCACTGATGGCGGGAACCTGTCGTCCTCCACCACGCTGAAGATCGACCTGCTGGACATCAATGACAAGAGGCCAGTGGTCATCGGCTCCTACAACATCTTTGTCCAGGAGGAGGAGGGCAATGTCTCCGTGACCATCCAGGTACGAGCCAGCCTGGGCCTGGTGGGTGGGGCGGGGGAAGGGCACCGAACCTGGCTCTGTAGTCAGGCTGGCCCTGGGCTGGCATCTGGGCTTTGCTTTGTGGCCCTGAGAAAGTCACTCAGCATCTCTGGGCCTCTGTTCCTCTTTGGAGAATGAAGGCAATCATACTGCTTATTCCCAAGGTCTTTGGAGAACAATGAGATAATGGATGTAGAGCGCGTGGCACAAAACCTAGCACAGAGCAAGCCCCAAAAAAGGACTGAGGTAGCTTAGATTAAAAAGGAAGACAGCACTGACTGGTGTGGCTCAGTGGGTTGGGCGTCGTCCCACAAAGGAAAATGTCACCGGTTCGATTCCCGGTCAGGGCACAGGCCTGGGTTGTGGGCCTAATCCCCAGTTGGGGAGCGTGCAAGAGGCAGCCAATTGATGTTTCTCTCATACATCTATGTGTCTCTCCCTTTCTTTCTCCCTCCTTTCCCCTCTCTCTAAAAATAAATAAATAAAATCTTAAAAAGTAAGATAGAAGTATGGAAGAAAGAAAGAGAAAATAAGGATAGTATTGTTAAAGAGAGCAAAAATAGATCTAGAACCCAAAGTCATACAATTGTGAGGAGCTGGCTGAAAAATTCATTTCTGAGCTTCCTAATGGCCAAAGCAAGAAAGGAAATGAGATCAATGACTGGGTTCACCGAATCCATGAGATAAAGCCCATTACTGGTTCCAGAGAGACACCGGAGGGAAGCTTCGCCCCTGAGTCACCTTTCAGGTTCTTGTGAGAGGCAGGTAACCAGGTCACCCCATGGCCTTGGAGCCTTCCCATCTTTCTGGGGTGGTGTGGCTCCCAGGGCTTGCTCCCACCCCCTGACCTCTTGATGGGCCTATGAAGCGGATGCTGTCATGGTCCCCACCCTCAGAAGAAGAAGTCTGAGGCTCAAGGAGGTTAAGAGACTTTTCTGTTGTCGTACAGCCAGTAGCGGCAGTGCTGGGCCAGTAAGACATCCTTGCGTTGGGACCGGGGCCTCCCCCACCCGCTGCTGGCTCCTTGATGCTCCTCAGCCCGGCCTGCGAGCTCCCAGGGCCGTAGGTCAGATCCGCTGCCGTAGCTGCGGCACCCAGCATGAGCCCCGGTGAGGAAGCTGGCCTGTGTTCAGGGCGCTGGGGACGAGAAGATGGGGTCAGGCTTTGGGAAAAACCATCGCTGGCTACCTACGCAGGAAGCATTTAATAAACAAAATTCTAACAGAACTGAAATGGAAGAGCTGAAGGCAGGGGCTGGGAAGGGCGGACAGGGACCTAACTGGTTCCGAGTCAGGGTAGCCCAGCTTTGGATCCCAAACCACACTTGTTGAGCACCTGCCGTACCCCGGGACCTTTGCTGGACCCCAGGTGGTCTGAGATGAACCCACCATAATCCTGGCCCTGGACAGTAACCCAAGGGTGTCACTTGTGCCACGCTGGAGGTAACCCGGGGATCAGGGGGGCCCAGGGGAGACCCCAGCCTCGCCTGGAGTCAGGCAGAGAAGGCGCGAAGGGCGCACAGGGGGAGGGCACAGCATGAGCAGAGGCCCCGTGGCAGGCAAGAACCTGTCGTATTTTTTGACCACCTGAAGGCAGGCCAAGCTTGTGCGCAGTGCCAGGCACGGCAGGAGCACACACTCATCGTGGGAAAGTCAGAATCCTGCTGGACTTCACACTTCTATTGTTTAGACTCTGGATGTCTGTAATACATTGTCCCCTTGACCCCCGCCCCACAAGCATATCAGCTCCATGAGGCACCTGCCGTGATCCTGGCTCCGCTCCTCGTGCCGAGGGCAGGGCTGGCACATTGCGGGCACACAGCAAACGCCAGAGGGATGCGTGAACGACCGCCCCAGAGGCTCTCGGAAGCTCTCCATCTGCCCCTCTTAGATGGGAAACAGGTCGAGTGATTGCCCCACCCGCTGGCTTCAGGCCCAGTCGCTGCCCGGGTGGGCGGCGTGGCCGCAGCGGGGGTCTGGCCGCAGGGAGCACCTGGCGGCTGAGGCCCTGCCTCTCTGTCCAGGCTCAAGATGATGACCAGCCGGGCACCAACAACAGCCGCCTGTACTTCAGCCTGCTGCCCAGCCCCTACAGCCACAACTTCTCAGTGGACCCTGACACGGGGCTCCTCAGAAACCTGGGGCCCCTGGACCGAGAGGCCATCGACCCCGCCCTGGGCGGCCGAATTGTGCTGACGGTGCGTGTGGCTGACTGCGGTGTGCCTGTCCTCAGCACTGAGGTCAACGTCACCATCACGGTGGAGGTGAGTCCTGGCTCCAGCGGGGCAGGCGGTCAGGGTGGGCTCCGTGCTGGGAGCCCCACGCGGGCGGCCAGCTCCCACTCCCCCCCGGCTCGAGTTACACTTCTGCCCTTCGCAGTGTGGAGGGTGAGAGAGTTCTGGAGACAGGCCAGGGGGTGGGAATCAGCTCTCTGGGTGTGGCTGTAGGCGCTTGCTCGGCCTCTCTGTGCCCTAGAGTTCCGCGTCTGTAAAATGGGCATGAAAATAACATAACAAGAGTTAACAGACAGAGGGGTTTTGAAGAGCGCCTGACCCATAGAAGGCACTCAGGGACTATTAGATCTGATGATCACTCACAAATCTACCCGAGTCCCTTCTATTCCCCCCCGCCCCTGCCCACCATTCAAGGACAGAGAGAAGGGGTGAAAACCAGCATTTATAGTGACTGCTGCTCTCCCGGCCCTGCGAGGTAGCCATGGTTCTTACCATTTCGCTGATCAGGAGACCGAGGCACAGAAAAGTGGAGAATCTTGCTGGGGGCCTCCGAACGGAGTTTCGAACCCAGTCTGTCTGGGGCTAAGGATGCTCCCAGCCCACAGGTTGCCCTTCTCTACGAAAGTATTGTAACAAAGTGCACCTCCGCTGTGTCCGCGTTGTGGGTGGAGCCCGCCAGGGCTGTGTGATGCGCGGGGCAGCCCTGTGGCCCATTTGGTTGAGAGGGGCCGCATCCCTACAAGGATCAGAGTGACACCTCAGGGGAAAGGGAGAAACAGAAGCTGAGTTAGGACACAACCACTGTCCTTGGAATGGGAGGGAGCCCCAGAGAAAGAAGAAAGCAGCACTGTATTTCATGAGCGAGCCGGTCTTCCACAGCCATGAGCTCGTCCACAGCGTGGCCCTGTGAGCAGGACTACGGACTGAAAGCCCATTTTGCAGATGAAGACACTGAGGCCCAGGGAGGGCAAAGGGACACGTGAGGCAGAGGCGGAGCTAGACGTGACTCACAGCTGTGCTCGCGGCTGCGCGGCCAGTCAGGAAGGCCTGGAGAAGGCAGCTGTGTGTTGAGCCAGTCTCACCGTTTTGGGGAAATCACCATGAGAAAATATGTCCAGTTAAGGGGGAGAGCACTTTGTTTCTAAAGACATTCATTCTACCATTACTTTGAAAACGCTGACAGCGCAAGCAGGCGCCTGCGGGCTGCCTGGGGGAGGGCTGGGGAGGCCGAGGGCACCGGCACGCCCCAGCGCCCGGGGCAGAAGTGGCAGGCAGGCAGGCAGCGCAATGCTTCATGGGAGGTGGAGGGAGAAAGAGAGGAGAGGAAACAGTGGGGACCGAGAGCGAGACCAGGCCTCTGCCTTGGTGTGAGCCCGAGCACAGAGGACGTTGCCCAGTGTTGTGAGGTCGGCGGAGGACAGCGGGGGATGAGTGGAAGCTCAGGCCACAGGGAAACGCCGTGCAAACACAGTGGTATCGGTGCCGGTACAACAAATCCGAGGGATGGGGCCCCAGTTGGGCCAGACACACAGCCGGGGACTCGGAACCATCCTTCCAGATGGCGGGTCCTAGGACAGCTCAGAGCTGTGGTTTGAGAGGTGGGGCGCCCTGTATGTGTGTCGCGAACCTCGGGGGTCCGCCACAGGCCTCAGACCCCCAGGTGGAGACCTGGGCTCTTTTCCCTCTCAAAGGCTCTTCCTCATCGTGAAGTGGGCGGTGCTGTCTAAGACCATGGGGGCTGGGCCTCGGGCTGGGGGAAGTGTTGGTCTCTCAGGAGGCTCTGGGGAGGCTGAGCCCTGGGGGCTTCTGAGGTCCCCAGACTCACATCTGCCCTTGTCTGAAGGACATCAATGACAATCTGCCTGTCTTCAACCCGTCCAACTATATCTTCTCGGTGAAGGAGAGGGACTCAGGTAAGTCCTCTTTGGGCCAGGCTGGGCACGGGGCCTGGGGTCCAGCGTGGGCTGGGGTCCAGAGTGGTGAATGGCCCCTCCCAGTGTGGGTGGAAGTGCCTGTGGGAAGTGAGAGCAAGGGACGCCCGGGGGCCAGGCCAGTGGTCCTCCAGCTCCGGCCCTCGTCCACAGGCGTGCTGGTGGGCGTGGTGAGGGCCTTGGACGCAGACCAGACGGAGGCCAACAACCGCATCAGCTTCAGCCTGTCCGGGAGCGGCGCCAACAACTTCCTGCTCCAAGGCTTGGTGCTGGGGTCTGGGTGGGCTGAGGGCCGCCTCAAGCTGCCCTCTGACATCAGCCTGGACTACGAGACCCAGGCCTCCTTCAACCTGACAGTGATTGCCGAGAACCCGGACCCCCAGGGGGCCAGCGCCACAGCAGAAGTCTTTGTGCGTGTGGAGGACGTGAATGATGAGCCGCCCACCCTGAGCCCAGCCTCGCTCCGGGGCATCCGTGTGGCTGAGAATGGCTCGCAGCATGGCCTGGTGGCCACGGTGGTGGCCCATGATGTGGACACCAGTGCCCAGCTGGAGGTGCAGCTGGTGAATGTCATCTGCACCAAGGCCGGCGTCGACGCGGGTGGCCTGTGCCACGGCTGGTTCTCTGTGCTGGCCAACGGCTCTGTGCTTGTCAATCAGAGCGAGGCCATCGACTACGAGACCTGTGACCTGGTCACGCTGGTTGTGCGGGCCTGTGACCTCGCGACGGACCCCCGCTTCCAGGCCTACAGTGACAATGGTGAGGTCACCGGGCAGGGAGGGGCTGTGGGGAAGAACCCTGGGCTGGAACCTGCAGGGCCTGAGTTCAAATCCTGGCTCCAGCTCTCACCAGCTGTGCCGTTGGGAAAACTGTGACACCTTCCCAAGCCTCATTGTCCCCATCTGTCAGTGGAGTTGGGTAGTAGGCTGGCTCGCAGATCAAATGAGGTCATGCATGCAAAGCATTCAGCACAGTGCTCGGCACATAGCAAGCACTTCATTGATCCGAGCAGCAAATTAACCACACTAACAGTTAGCAGATACTGAGTCCTCGCTACAGCCAAGAACCATGCCAGTCCCCGGGGAAGCGTAGTCTCATTTCAGTCCCTGGCAGCCCAGGAGGTAGGCGACCCCTCTACAAGTCTGCAGAGGAGGAAGCAGGCACAGAGTGGGCAGCTCGAGAACCTGCTGGCACAGCAGCACGTGTCCACAGGAGGGTGTGGCTGGGAGAGACGGACCTGGCTGGGGCCCAGCCCTCGCCCGCCGCTCGGGCTCCCTGACCTTAGATAAGCTGCTCAGCCTCTCTGAGGTCTGGGGAGGGTACTCCCTGTTACAAAGGCCGCAGGGGGCTGGGTAGGCATCCCGGGTCAGGAGCAGGGGAGGGGACTGAGCACGGGAGGCGTGGGAGGGGGGCCGCTGGGAGCGTGGCTGCCTTTGCGCAGAGAGTGGAGCCAGCCGGCCTTGTTTCCTAGGAAGCCTCCCCATCACCATCGAGGACATAAATGACAACGCGCCGTACTTTCTGCCCGAGAATAAGACTTTCGGTAAGCAGCAACCCTCTCCCTCCTTACCGCCGGGACTACCTCTGGGCAACCCATGGACCCTCCCCGGACCCCAAGTGGGCCCTTAGAAAGGGAGGAAGGCCTCCGGTCCTGCCTCTCCCCTGAGGCCCCAACGGGGGGAGACTGCGTGCTCACCCCAGCTCTGCCCTGCCTCGCACCGGACCCCGGGCTAGGCCCTCCAGCGATGGGCCTCGGCTTCCCTACCTGTGCAAGGGGAGGTGGCTGCCCTGCTAACCAGTGGCTCAGGGACGGTTGTTGTGGAGTCTCTGGTGGCAGGGAGCTGGAGGGCAGGTTTGGGGGGTGAGCTAATCTCGTGGTCTGCGCTCGGCCGGGGGGCACTGGCCGCGACCCCACGGACCCCTCCTCTCCACCCTCGCAGTGATCATCCCAGAACTGGTGCTGCCCAACCAGCAGGTGGCCTCTGTGCAGGTGAGTCCTTGGCTGTGGGCTTTGTGGGTTGCCTTTGCCCAGGAGACATGGGGCTGAGACCCTCAGGCTTTTGAGCTGCATCCCCCTCCAAATGATTTACTACTGGAAAGGAAATGTATTGGCTTCACCATATTAAAAGAAAACCACACACACACACACACATACCAAAAAAACCAGAATGGAAATGAACACCTACCTAATTGATACAATTAAATTTCATTCATTGTTAAATTTAGAGTTCATAAAAATTTCATGGCCATAAAAACCACTTGCAGGCTAGATTTGCCTTGCTGCACCAGGATTCTTGAGTATTACAGAGAAATCCACTGAACATTAAACAGGTTCCTCGTAGTTAGATAATTTCCAAAGCAACATCATAAAAAGACTTTCAATTGTGGGTGTGTTTATCAGAGGGCGGTGGCCGAGCTGAGGGCTCGGGACCTCCCACACAGCTTGGGTCCCGCCCCCTCGGCTCTCCCGGGTCTCAACGACCCGCGGTGGAGCTCAGTTTCCCTCCTAGACCAGGAGGTGGCTGGTCCTGGCCGTGCCTCTAACCCAGAGGCGGTAGCATCTGGGGGCCACGCGCTGTGCTGTGGGAAGGGCGCGGGTGCAGGAGACGCCAGCCAGGCCTGCCTCCCTTAGAGCTGGCTCTGTGGTCGACAAGGGTCCCCCTGGGAGCCTCAGTTTCCTCCTGGAAAATGGGGATAGTAAGTCTCCCTCTCTAGGTTCTTTCAAGCCTTCAACAGTCAGTTTTCTAATCTTCAGCCAAATGCCTTCCCATGCCATGAGCATGGCCATGGCTTTGAAAGATTTTCTTTAAATCAAACCTTTTTTTGGAATGTAAACATCACCTTTGACCTCATCCTGAATAGTGACATCGGTAGAGTTGTAGTTCTGTGTGACAGTTATATTTTGTTTTTCTCTAAAAGGCACTAGGATGAATACAAATGTTTGCGCTCTTTCCCCCGGTGATTTCACGCTCCATCGGGGGGATCCATGCTCACTAAGCCCTGGAATGGAGGCTCCAAGGGGAGGAGCCTGGCGCACAGTAGACGTTCAGGAGATCTGAGTGTCCCTGTGCTTGTGCCTGTGGCAATGGGGTGGGGGGCAGGGCAGGATTTCCACATGAAAGAGACTGGGTGGGAACCTGTTGGGTTGGAGGGCGAAAGGCAGAAACTTGCCCAAACCTGGCTGGGTCTAAAGCGTTTGCTCAGCTGGCTGTGGGCTGTGGAAGGCTGATGGAGGCGTGCGGACCAGCGTCCCAGGCCGCCGCAGCCTCCGACTCCTGCTGGGGCGGGGGTGCCCAGCCCGGCCCACAGGTGTCATCTCCTCTTGCTCCCAGGCCAGAGACGAGGACTCAGGGAGGAACGGGGCCATCCTGTTCTCCATCCTCAAAGTGGATTTCGTCACGAAGGATGGGGCCACGACCCCTTTCCGGGGCTTCTTCCGGGTCTCCACCTCTTCAGAGGCTGATGTGTTCATTGGCAACATTGAGTAACTTCAGGCAGCCCCTGGATGGGGGTGGGGGAGCCCAAAGGGGACCTCAAGGCAGTGATCCCCACCCTCAGAAGTGTACCATGGGTTCCAGAGGACTCCAGCCTGGGCTCCAAGGCAGAGCTGTGCCCTCTTACCTTCTGTAGGCTGGTGACCAGCCTTGATTCCACTCTCCAAGGCACCTACCAAGTGACTGTCCGGGCCCAGGACAGACCGTCAGTGGGTCCTGCCCTGGAAGCCAACACCACCCTGAACGTGAGCACTGGGCCCCGCCTCCAGCCCCTGGTGCCCCCTGCCAGTTCCTGGGGCCCCAGGCCTCACCTCCCCCGACGCCCTCCGTCCACAGCTCTTCACGGTGGATCAGAGCTACCGCGTGAGGCTGCAGTTCTCCACGAGCAAGGAGGAAGTGGGCGCCAACACCAACGAGATTAAGGCGTAGGTCTGGGGGGTCCAGAGGGGCTGTGGGGAAGAGCCGGGCCGGGAGCCTGGTCCCCCGACGAGACCTGGACGGAAGGCCTGGCCCAGGCTCCCGCTGCATGGCACGCCTGCCTTTGACCCTGTACCCGCGCTTCCTTCCTGCACACCCCCAGAGGCCGCCGATTAACTGGGTGGGGAAGAACCTAGGCAGGGCTGCCCGCGCAGCGGCTAAGACTGTGCGTGGCACACGGGCACCCAGCTTGCTCAGCTGTCCACCCCGCCCCGGGGAAGGGGCTTCCTGGCCTACGTGCCCAGAGGTGCCGCCTGCTCCGCCAGGGGAGCTGTGAGTGGAAGAGCCCCGTTCTGATGCACACGGCTCTCCGTTCCGCTGGCCCCAGGCCTGGGTGAAGGCCGCTCCCCGAGGCCTCTGTGACACCTGCCTCCTTTGCAGGGCTCTCGGCCAGGCGACCAGGACAACCGTCTACATTGTGGACATCAAGGACATAGAATCCACGGCGCGGTGAGTGCCCGCAGGCCCAGTGGCTGGGGTGAGGAGGAGGAGCAGCAGGAGGGCCCACCGGCTGGCTCAGGGCTGCTCTGACCCTCCACCCCTGCCTTCTGCCAGGGCCCGGGGCCGCTCCTACCTCGATGCCTACTTCGTCTTCCCGAACGGGACAGCCCTGACGCTTGAGCAGCTGAATGTGTGAGTGGGCTGCCCCTGGGGTGGGCGGGAGGGTGCCCATGGGCCCCGGGCCTGAGCGGGGCTCTGTGTGCAGGGTGGTCCGGGAGGACCAGGACTCGCTGACACAGCTGCTGCAGCTGGGGCTGGTGGTGCTGGTGAGTGACAGCGGGGCGGGGCGGGGCGGGGCGGAGCGGGGCGGGGGTGGGGCGTGTCCGCCCGGGAGCCTCCCTCACACCCTTTCCACAGGGCTCGCAGGAGGAACAGAAATCGGACGAGCCAAAGCTGCTCCGCAGTGTCATCATAGGACTGGGAGTGGCTTTGGTGCTGGTCATCGTGATCATGACCACGGCCTTCGTGTGTGCCCGAAAGAGGTGCTGTTCCCACCGTCCTGTGTCTCTAGCCCCCCGACCCAGACATTGGAGGAGGGGGAGAAAGAGCTTGGGTTTAGGTGGCAAGAATAGCTGTATTCAACCCCCAGAGACCTGGTGTGACATTTTGGGTAGGCCACCTCCCCTCCCGGAGCCTCGGTTTCCTCATCTGCAAAATGGGCATGACCCTGGATCCCTCAAAGCCCTTGGGGAAGCAGCGTGCATCTCACACCCAGCAAGCTGTCTGGCATGTGCAATGCGTTGCATGAATGCTGTTTCTTTCCCCTTTTCTGACACACTTGCAGTGAGCAGCCACGTCTGGGTTTCATTCGAAGTCTTGCCACTGGTTAACTGTGTGGCCTTTGGCAAGTCCTTTTCCTTCTCTGGCTGTTACTTGAACTCTCTGCAAAATGGAGCCAATACTCTCACCTGCCAGGGTCGCTGTGGGGTCACACGCCCAGGCCTGCCCTGGCGCACAGTGGGTGTGCAGGGAAAGTGGTGACCACGCCCTTGGCTCCCCGCAGCTACCGCCGGAAGCTTCGGGCTATAAAGGCTGCCAAGGAGGCCCGGAAAACAGCAGCAGGGGTCATGCCCCTGGCCCCCGCCATCCCCGGGACTAACATGTACACCGCCGAGCGGTGAGTGGGGCTCGAAGGGTCGGTAAGAGGCCCCAACGGGCGGCTGAGGCCCGCGGCCGCTTGACTGGGCCTTCTCTCCAGGGCCAACCCCGTGCTGAACCTCTCCACCAAGGACCTGGGCTTTGAGTCCCAATCTTCCTCCAGTGACACGGACCATCTCAGGTGAGCGGTGCCCCTCACAGCCGTGCTGGTTGGTGGTGGCAGCGATGGTCCTGGTGGCGGTGGGGGTGGCGGCGGCGGCAGTAATGGTGATGGTGTGGTGGTCGTGATGGTGTGGTGCTGATGGTGACGATGGTGGCGATGGTGGTGCCAATAGAGGTGGAGCTGGAAATGGTGACGATGGTAGTGACGGGGTGGTGGCGGTGGTGATGGTGAGGATGGTGATGGTGGCGGTGGCGGTGGCGGCGGCGGCGGCGGCGATGGTGCGGTAGAGAAGGTAGTGGAGGCGGTGGGTCTTGGCCACAGACAGGGAGGACGGGGCCTGCCAACTATCTGACCTCCAGCGTCTCCCCCACAGCCTCAACTCCCTGGACGAAAACTCTGTGGATCTGGAAAAGAGCAAACAGGAAATCAAGGCAAGTGGGGGGATGAGTTGTTGCTGGGGTCCTGAGTTGGGGTCCCTCTCTGAAGGGGCGGGGTTCAGGGCAGAGCTGCAGGCCCTGCTGCTGACCTGGGCACGTGCTACTGCTCCAGGCCTTGGGGCACCTTATGGCTTTGGAATGGGGTCCAGTCCTTGCTCCTCTGTTATTCACTGTGACCCTGGGTGGGCGACTCCTCCCTCTCGTTCTGTTTTATCAGCTGTCAATGGGGTTGGAGCACCAGCCACACAGGGCTGTTGTGAGGATGCAATAGAGTGGGTACAAAAACCACCTGGCACAAAGCAAGCGCTAAAATATCCGGTGCCCTGCTGTTATATCCCTTATTGAAATGCTGGCAGGGTGGGAGCAAGAGCGCTGGAGGTGCCTATAACCTAGCAGAGGAGAGAAGGTAGGCTCAGATAAACAGCAGTGCCCTCCGCGGCCCATAGGTTCGTTGGTTCTGTTAGCTCAAGAATTCACACAGCCTGGGCGGCCGACGGGATGCCCGCCGGGAGCTCTTTGGACGCAGTGGGCAGCAGCCCAGGGACTCGGGTCCGATGGCTGAGGGGGGTCTGGAGTGAGCGTGCTGTTAAAACTCCCCAGGTTCTCAGGTGCAGACAGGATTGAGAAGCCTGAGAGGGGAGCCGTGGGTGGGGTGGGTGGTGGGTCCTCACCCTGGAAGGGGGGGCGCCGGGACCGGAAGGAACTACTATCTCAATCCTCCCACTTTGAAAACCGCCACTGGCGTAGCAGCTCCAAGGCCCCTGAGCCTCAGCAGCCTGCGGCTCGGTGCGTCTTAGGAGGGGGTTAGGGTCCGGCTGTCCACTGTGCCCTGCTCTCTGGGGCCCCACCCTTCCTTCGGCACTTAATTTCCCTTGCGGATGCCTTACTCAGAAGGATCCGGCCAACCAAAGCCCCTTGTGGGCCATAAAATACCAGAATGTTGCATAGGGACCTGGCTGTCACATGGAGGCCTCCAAACGGGTTCGCGGGATGGGTCATTGGTAGCTATCCAGGCCACCAGGCTGTGGCGGGCATCTCTGGGTGAATGGCCCATCTCTGGTTGACGACGGTTTGAGGCGAAATCTCCAGTGAACACGTTTTGGGGGAACCGAGGCAGAAGGGAGCAGCCTGGCCTGCCAGAGCTGACAGTCTCAGAGGCGGCTCCTGGTAAGGCCCCAGCGGACCCCCAGAGGGGCCCAGCAGTGGGGCTGGGGAGGCCTGAGAGCTCTGAAGGGTCTGGAGAGGGAGTGGCCAGGCCCCTGAGAGCCTCCCAGGCCAGGAGAGAGCCAAGACTGCGCCACCACAAGGGCAGGAGGTCCTTGTGTTTCTGGAAGCTGCCCGAGGCTCCACCCTCCCGCCTGTCGCGGTGGGCTGGCCGGGGAGGCCACCGCCGGCTCAGGAATGGGCTGCCCCTTTCGCTCCTCCCTTGGCTGAGTGGGGAACACAGTGGGGGGCATTTTTCCTTGGATCCCTGTTGCCCTGACTCATCCAAGCCATGAGAAACTGGAAGGGTCATGCCATCCTACCTTTTTAAGCACCCGAGGCTGGGGAGGGTGCTGACTTGCCCGAGGTCGGGGAGCTTGCAAGGCGAGGGTAGGCCAGGGCCGAGAGCTCCCGTCTCCCCAGCCAGGCCGCCTTTCCTGGGCTGCATGGTGCCAACAGCTCCGGGGGTGGATGGGGTGTGAGAGGCAAGGGCTCTAGGGAGCGCAAGGAGAATGTTCAGCTGGACTTGGGGCCCCTTACACGTTCCCCTCTTTGCCAGGGACTAGAACAGGCCCGGTCCGAAAAAGCCCTTGGAGTGTCCTAGGGAGGGGCTGGTGGTGGGGGCTCTGCCCTGTGGGGTCTCTGCTGTGGATTGGCTGAGCCTGCAGGCTGGCTGGTCCCCTGGAGGGGGCACTAGTGAGGTGTGTGTGACTGGCTGTGTGTGTGCAGCACAGCACGTGCGGAGGGGGGGAGAGGAGGCAGGGAGGCGCGTGAATGTGTGCCACAGTGAGCGGGGTGGGACCTGGGCGCGGCCTGTCCCTGGGAGGCTGGCAGAGAGGCTGCAGCGGACCAGAGGCAGCGCTGTGCTGCGCGCGAGCTTCAGAGCCAGCCAGACCTGCAACCCGACCCTGCTCTGCCCCCTCCCCAGCCGGGAGAGGCCGCCAGACTTCGTTTCTGCATCTGGCAAATGGGGCACACGAGTCCTCCCTCAGGGGATCTCTGTGGGTGCTTCAGGTAGTGGATGAGATGCACCCAGCATGGCACCCGCTGAGGTGCAGGTGGCAGGACCCAGGCTGGACTGGCATTACCCAGGACGTGGCAGAGCACCGGAGCGCCACTGTGTCCGTGGATGGGGCAAAGGCCGGAGTAGCCCCCGCCCCATGTCCAGTGCTTCCCTTGAGCCCATCTGTGCCTTCAGTGGCCATGGCCACCTCTGGGACACAGCCAGGGAACTGAGGCCCCCAGGGGAACAGGTGGGACTCCAGCCAAGGAGACAGCTGGCTGCAGGGCCTGGGGAGACCGCCCGCCTTGCCCCGGCCTCATGCCTCCCCTCTCTCCCCTGCAGAAGGAGCGGCAGCACAGTCCGGTGGAGCCAGAGGCAGAGGCCCTGAGCGTGGTGCTGTCTGGAAGGCCGCAGGGCACGGGTGGGCAGCAGAAGGAGCTGTCCTTCACCAACGCTGGCCTGGACACCACAGACCTGTGATGGGCCCCGCCGTTCCAGTCTGACAGACCCGGCCCCCCCGTGCTACACCTGCCCTCCCCGAACATCATAATATATCGTGCTGCTTTGCCTCCTTCTGCTTGTAGCCAATCACAGCTGACGAGTGTTGGGGGAAAATTTTATTACCAATGTATATTGTGACAGTTTGTAGCCAAAAACCACGGCTAGAGGGGTGGGGACAGGGGTTCTAAGTGGTCCTCAGGGCTTGTGGGGCTCACAGCACAGGGGGCACGGGGGGCGGGAGAGGGAGGCCTTTAATGGGCAGCTATGGTTGTAGAGTGAGCTCTCCATTCTGCCCGATACCCAAGACCTTCCGTGACCTTGGCTGTTATCCCCAGACCTGTCTGAAACCCTCGGACCTTTCTGTGACTCTCCTTTCAACTGCAGTGCCAGGCTCCTGCAGCTGTGGCACCCCTTCACCCCCCACCCCGCGCCCCGGGAACCGTGAACCCTGTCCTATGAGGGTGGACCTAGGGCTGGGGGTGGGCCGGCAGATAGGAACGCGGGTGACTACCTGCATGCAAGAGACGTCTGGGACATGGGGGCCAGCCCGTGGCGAGGACACGCACTCACACTCGCATTCTGAGCCTTGCACACTCTGGGGCCTCACACACCGATCCTTGCACACATGGAGGTTTTGCACACATTCTCTCCCATTCTGGGGACCTGGCTGCCAGCGGCAGCCAGCAGCCTGGACAACTCAGGAGCCTGCCTCAGCTCTCAGGCCTCGGGGTACTGAGCAGGTACCCCAGGTGTGGCTGGGAGGGAGTGGAGCCGAGGGCGGTGAGGGGACAGTAGGGTGTCAGGGCTGGGCTTGCAGACTCCTGATCAGGGAGGAGCTGGGCAGAGCGGGTTCATTTGTGTGGGAGGGGGGGCGGGGGAGGAATGAGAAGGCTCAGGAGGCTGCCCATACCTCGGAGGCCTGTCTTTTGTCGAGGGAATCCCTTCCTAGGGCCTGGGGTCAAGAAGGGAGCCTGAGGAGGTTGGAAAACCCGGGCGTACAAAAGTGGGGCAGATCACTCGGCCGTGGGTCCCGCCCGCGAGCAGCATCGCGGCCGGCGCACGCTCTGCAGCAGCGCGCGGAAGAGGCCAGGCGGGCGCTTTGCGTTGCTTTCGGGAGGCGCGGTGCGCACCGAGCCTGCACGGCCGGGGCCCGGGCGGGCGGCAGGGGGCGGCGCGGGTGCCCCCTGGCGGCCGTGCTCCTCGATCTGTCGCTCCAGATGTTTCTGGATGGCCATGCCCAGGACCTCCACCTCCATGGCGGCGCCGTACACCTCCCACGTCATGCCCTTTTCGTCCCAGCTTACATCGCGAACGGGCTCGGCCGCCTCCGGGGGCGCCACGGCGGCAGCCAGCACCGAGCCGGGCCGCACCCGCACCTCGGGGAAGGCGGGCGGCGCGGTGGGCGGCACGGCGGCCTGCGGCGTCATGGGCCCTGTGGCCACAGAGCGTGTCTCGGCGGCCCCCATCGACACTTGCAGGCCCGCGTCCCGGCGCGATGGCTGCTTAGGTGCGGGGCTGGGCGCGCGCGGCGCCGCCTGGAAGCTGAACGCCGGGCCGCCCGAGCCATCCTGCGGAGACATGGGGCTCACCGCCACCGACACGCAGGCCTGCGCGCCTGCCTGCGTCCCCGCGTCCTCACGCGGCGGTGGCGGCGGGCCGCTTGCATCCCACGACGGCGCCTTAGTGAAGTTGTCACGAGTCCGCGGCCCGGGCCGGGGCGCTTCAGCCTCCGAGCCGGGGCTTCCCTGGGCCCCAGCGGCCACCGGCTCTTTCTGCCCCGGGCTGCAGGCCTCGGTGCTGGTCGCTGGCACTCGTTCCACGAGGTTCCCACCACTCCCAGCACCCGAGGGAGCAGAGGCGGAGCCGCAGGCTTCGATATCTGACTCCCTGGGGGAGGAGGCCTCCGCCTGACCCAGAGTCAGGGGGGCCACATTCCCGGAGGATCGCGGCTCAGCTTTTCCTGGAGGCAGTGCGGGGTCAGCCTTCCCCAGGGCCACGGGCTCTACCTTTCCCGAGGCAACAGGGCCTGCTTTTCCTGAGGATCCAGGATCCCCCTTCTCCAAGGCCAGGGGCTTCTCCAGCAGAGACACAGTCTCTGCTCTTCCTGATGAAGCAGGACCCTCCTGCTCAGGGGGCTTGGTGGCTGCTTTGCCCAGGGATTTGGGTTCTGCTTTCCCCGAGGCCCTGGGGTCCACCTTTGTGGAGTTCACAGGATTCCCCTTCTCTGGAGGCAGGGGACCCTCCTTTTCCTCCGCCGCCGAAGCATCTGCTTTCCCCAAGGGAGCCGGGGCTGTTTCCCCTGGGGTCGTGGGGGCTACCTTTCCTGCAGACACAGAGCCTGCCTCGCGCGGGGACATGCCTTCTGCCTTCCCCCTGCTCACAGGGTCTGCCTTGCCCAAGGGCTGGGGCTCGGCCTTCTCTGAGGCTGTGGGACCCGTCTTTGCAGAGGTTGCCGGGCCTGCCTTCTCTGAGGACAGTGGCGCTGCCTTCCCGCCAGCCACCGCCTCGGCCTTTACAGAGGATGAGGGTCCCGCTGTTCTGGAGAACTTGGGATCCCCTGGGACTGAGGGCACAGGGCCTATCTTCCCTGAAGATTCAGGATCCACGTTCCCAGAAGATGATGTCTTTGTATTTCCCACAGAACTGAGGGGACCCGCCTTTCTGGAGGAGCCTGGGTCCTCCGTCCCCGCAGACACACCTCCCGTCTTTCCCACCGACGGGACTTCCGCTCTCCCAGGAGACAAGGGCTCTGGCCTTCCTGAGGACGCGGGGTCCACCTTTCCCGAAGAGGTTGGGCCCACCTCGCTTAAAGAGACAGCTGCCGCCTGTCCAGCAGACTCAGTTTCGGTCACTCTCGAAGACGCGGGATCCCCCTTTCCTGAGGCGGCAGGATCCCTCATTCCCAGGAGCTGAGGGTCCTCTTTTGCAGAGGACACAGTTTCCATGTTTCCCACAGATACAGGGTCTGTCGTTTCCAAGAGCTGGCCCCCTCCGGTCGGGCCTGGAGCCGCTGTTCTGTGGGAGGTGGGCTCGGTTTCGCCTGACGACCCTGGAGCCAGTGATCCACCAGACCCAGGACCTGCCTTTCTCGCAGATGCAGGCTCGGTGTTTTCCGAGGACCTGGGATTCCCCTTCCCTGAGGGTCCAGGATCTCTCTTTCCCAAGGACCCAAGGTCTGCCTTGCCAGCAGGTGCAGAACCCGCCCCTTCTGAGGATCCAGGAAGCTTTTGTCCCGAATACCTGGGCTCCTCCTGTCCCGGGCGTGCAGGGTCCACTGTGGCCGAGGACGTGGGACCCGCCCTCCTTGGGGACTCTGGACCCACCTTGCTCAAGCGCGCAGGGCCTGCCTCTCCCGAGGGTCGGGGGTCCTCCTCTCTTGGGGCCCCAGGATCCATCCTTCCAGAGGCCACAGGACCCCCCTTTCCCAAGACTGCAGGCTCTGCCTTTCCTGTGAACATGGGACCCGTCTCTCTCAAGGGCCTGGCATCTTCCTTTCCTGTGAAGGTGGAATCTGCCTGCTTTGAAGACTTGGCGTCCATCTTCTCCGAGAACATAGGATTTCTGTTCTCCAAGGAGGAGGGATCCTTTTTCACTGAGGACACAGGCTCTGGCTTTCCAGAGAAGGTGACTTCTGGTGTCCCTGAGTTCGAGGCTCCCTGTGTCCCCACTGCCTCCGTGGTGGCTGCCTCTTCGGGGGGGATGCAGGTCAGGGACGGGCAGGCCAAGCTCCCGCCGGGACCGTCAGAGCTGGAGGCCCCTTCCCCAGCCCTGCTGGGGCTGCCGCTGCGCCCGGAGTCCATGCCTGGGCTTTGGGCCGGGGTCTGCCTGGGCGGTACCGCGCTGGCCTTTAGCGGAGAGGGGCAGTGATCCCTCATGGCCGGGCCCCCAGCCCCCAGGCTCCCATCCTGTGGGCAGCAGAGGGCTGAGGGCAGGGGTCCTGGGGGGCTGGAGTCCTTTCGAAGCCCCCGGAGCCAGGCTGGTTCTTCAGTGCTGCCCAAAAGCCCGCATGACGGCGCCGCAGACCCGGGCTGCGGTCTGGCTCTGAAACATAGAGAAAGCAGACTCAGGCTCAGGGGAGACCCGGAGGGCGGAGCCTCCATCAGGCCTCCCCTCTCCTGCCCTCCTGCCGGCGGCCAGGCCTCCCCACCTGGTTTCCTGCCCCCGCCTGGCCCCTTCGTGTCCACAGGGCCTGGCGTAAACACACGAACCCCTCCACGTCACGCCCTGCTCCAGTGCTCCCGGGGACCCTGATTACCCAACATGGCACTCAGGCCCTTTGCGCCCGGCCACAGTGGAACTTCTCACCTTCATCTGCCACTGTCCTTCCCGTGTCAGCCCATCCCATGCAACGTGCTACCTAGAAATCATGCTTCTGTCCTCTAGCCCGTGGATCACAAGCTCTAATGCCATGGGCCAGGCAGGGAATTTAAATGAGGGAAGCAGGCTAAGTATAAAACAGTGGGGAGTGGCAAGGAGCACCGCAAGCTGGAGAGCGCGGGCCGGGCCGAGGCCGGACCCCTACCCCCCCAGCCAAGGCTGCCCTGGAGCAATGCCTCCTGGCAGGGCCAGTACGAAGCGGGAATCCAGCTCTTTAATGTGAAATATCCTAATTAATTCAAGATGAAAAACAACAACAAGAACACTATGGTGGCCAAACGAAATATGTCTGTGTAGGTCCTGGGGAGCTGTGAATAGTTTGTGGTCGAAGGAGAGACAGAGTCGGAGGTGTGCGTTTTCGGAGATCGCTCTAGAAGGGCGTGGGGGCTGGGCTGGAGGCGAGGGGCCGGCCGAGACCTGCAAGGGCTGCTGCCCGGTCATTCATTCAGTCTCTCACTCATTCAGTTCTTCGTGGGGTCACCCGGCCCCTTCGCTGCCACGGCCCCGGGGCGGCTGCGAAGGCCCAGGTGAGAGGGCCCGGGAGGTCCCAGAGAGCGGGTTTGGCGGCTCCGAGAGCTCTGAGGGAAAGCTGGCAGGAACCAGCTGGCCGGGGGGGTGTTGCGGGGTGGACCGCGGGGTTCTGGCTGGGGTGGGTGTGTTGCCAGGCAATGGTGCTGGGCAGGAGGTGTAGGGAAAGAGGGAGTTGTGTTTTGGACAAGCCAAGTGCGTGGTACCTGGGAGGCAGACAGGGCAGTGTCTAGGGGGCGGCTGGGCCTGCGAGCATTTCTATTCCGTTACACAGTCGGCAGCCAAAGTGAACCCCAACCTGCCCATCCTGCCTCGCGCCCAGGCCGCCTCACTCGTGCTCAGGCCAAAGTCCTAGAGCCGCCCTTGACTTCTCTCGCAGCCCGCATCCCATCCATCAGCAAAACAGGATGGATCTACCTTCCCAGCAGATCCAGAATCTGGCCGCCAACCCGAGCTTGACCCATACCACCTGCCACCTGGGTCATCCGCCCCTGCTTTTCCCTTCATCGCAAACAGCTCATTCTCAACACGGCAGCCAGAGGGACCTTAGAAGGACCGAAGGCAGATCGTGCCCCTCCTGTGCTCAGAACCAGGCAGGTGTCTCCCCGCCGCGTGCAAAGTGAAAGTAACCTGACTACGGCCCACAAGACCGCGTTTTCTGGCCCCAGCGCCTGTCCCTCGATTATGCTGCCTCGGCCGTACGGGCTGCCTGGCTGATCCTCGAACACCCGCTGCTCTGGGCCTTTGCACCGGCTGCTGCCTCTGCGTGGAGCACCCTCCCGCCTGAGTCTGCATGCTCTGCCCCCTGACCCATCCTGTGTGACACAGTCCCCTCCCCCGCACTGCCTGGTGCCTTGCATCTCCCTTGCCTTGCTCAGATTTGCTTCATAGTGCCTGTCACCATACAACATTGGTTTATTGCCTATGACGTGTCCTCCCATTGGGATGTCAGCTGCCGGAGGGCACGGGGCTGGGTGTACTGATGTGCCCTCAGGGTCGAGAACAGTGACTGGTAAGTAGTGAGCTAGTAGCTCCCACTAAACCTTTGTTAAATGAATGGCTGAAAGACCTTTCAAGATGTGGGTCCAGCCATGCCATTCCATGTGGTTTGCTTCCCCCAGCTCTTGCTGAGGATGTGAATTGGCTGTAACCTCTTTGGAAGGCCATTCATCAATTCCTATCAAAGCTTCCAGGGCATGTAGCATTTGGGCCAGCAGGCCCACCCCCAGGGACAGCTGTGCACGGAGGGCACGCGAGGACAAGGCTGGTGACGATGGGAAAACCAGGAAGTGGGCCTGGGAAATGCAGGACGACCACCGGGACCCCTCGCAGCTGTCAGCATGTTGGGGCGACGAGGAAAGACGCCCACAATTAAACAAGGGAGGGACAGACTCACGTCCATGGCTTATTTACAAAGAGGGCGTTTCTGGAAGGAAGCCAGTGAAACTTTTAGTAGTGACAGCCTCTGGACAGCAAGACCGTGATTTGGAAGCAGAGGAGGCTTTTTTATGTGCCCCGTTGTGAAGTCTGAATTTGGGTTATGAGTTGTTTAAAAACCAAAACAAGAAAGAAGCCTTTAATGACTCCCCAGTCCATTTAGGGTCCAACCCAACTCCATGGTGTGCTTTCCAGCCCATCAGCTCGCTGGCCTGCTGGGTGGTATCGCTCAGTATGCACCCCTCCTCCAAGGCATGAGCGTGTGCACACACATGCGCACCCATGCACACCCCCCACATGCACACACACTCACGTACACACCCCCATGTTCACTCACACCCATGTTCACTCACATGTACACACACCCATGTTCACTCACACCCACGTTCACTCACATACACTCACACAACACTCCCACATTCACTCACACATACACACACCCATGTTCATTTGCATACACTCACGCACACACATTCACTCACATACACATGCACAAGCACACATGTTCACTCATGCACACTCATGCACATGCGCCCATGTTAACTCACACACATGCACACACAGCCACGTTCACCCACACACACTCATGCACACACACACACACGTTCACACACATACACACATATGCACACACCCACACATACCCACGTTCACTCACTTACACATACACGCACACACACCCACGTTCTCACACTCATGCGCCCATGTTCACAGATGCACCCACGTTCACACACATATGCACACACACACCACCTCTGTGGGTTCCTTCATGGCTTTGTGTCTGTTCCACTGTGGCCTCTCCACACCCTCCTGCCTGGCTCTCTTTCAACCTTGAGGTCTCAGGGTAAATGCCTCCTGCTCCCCTGGGAGCCTTCGTTGCCCACCAGCTCCCTCAGGTTCTCACAGCCTCTAACTAGACTCATGTCAGTCTGCACTTAGCCCTTAATTTTATTTTAAAACTTTTATTTTTTACAGAGAGGGGAAGAGAGAAAGAGAAGCATTGATGTGCAAGAGAAACATCAATGTGTGGTTGCCTCTTACATGCCCCCAGCCAGGGACCTGCAGCCCAGCCATGTGCCCTGATTGGGGATCGAACCGGCAACCTTTCGGTTTGCAGGCTAGTGCTCCGTCCACTGAGCCACACCAGCCAGGGCTGCACTTAGCCCTTTAGACCTCTAGGTCCCTGCCTAGACCTCAGGTCCCTGGATGGGGACTTAGCTCCTCCTGTTCACCACTGGGTGCTCAGGCTTTGGGCTTACGGGACTTGGAAGAGCGGGGGTCATCACCAAATTTGGGACACACGGGGAGGGGCAGTTTTGCAAAGGATAGTGGGCGCTGGGTTTGGGAAGGTGAACTGGGTGCCTGTGGGGCTTACGGAGGAGTGTCCAGAAGCAGCTGTGAGCGGTCTGGCTGGAATTCCTTGGATCTGGCTCTTGGCAGCATGAAAATGAGTTGGGAGGTCACTGGCCTACAGGGATCGGGCAGGCATCAGATTTGAGTGGTATGGACTGTGTCTATCTTCATTTTTTGCCTCTAGATGGTGATATGGGCACAGATAAGTATTTTTCTCCCATCAGAAAAACAGCAGAGTCAGCGAGGTGATTAAAGACCTCTGACACCCTCAGGGTGAGGGAGATGAGAGGGAGTGGTGGGCACTGTGGCAAAGCAGAGAGCACTGGCCCCTTCCCGCAGTAAGTTCTACTACCTGCGTAGGGATTCGTTTACTCATTCAACATTTCTTTAGCACGTATGCAATGTCCTAAACACTGTTCCTGGTACTGGGGATACAGCCGTGAATAAGAAATACATGGTGCCTGCTGTCCGGGTGTGGAAAGATTGGGGGAGAGCAATTCACAAGTAAGCAAATAAATCGTGTAATTTCAATCATAATAGAGGCTGTGAAGACAAAGGAGTGGGCAGCTGGTTTAACACATGGCCAAGGAAAGCCCCTCTGAGGAGGTACAGCTGGGGCAGCCGTGGAAAGGCCTGCGTGGCTGGAGTGCGCTCGGAAGGGGTGGGGAGGAGGCAGGTGGGAGCCCATCGTTCAGGCCTCGGGGGTGGGGCAGGGGTGCCTCCTAAGGGTGCTGGGAAACCGCTGGGGTGTCTTTTCTTTTTCCGTCTTCACCCAAGGATATTTTTTCATTGCTTTCAGAGATGGTGAAGGGAGAGAGAGAAACATCAATATGGAGAGAAACATCGACAGGTTGCCTTTGGATGCGCCCGGACCGGGGATTGTAAGTGCAGGACCAGGGCTTGAACCCAAAACCCAGGCAGGGGCCCCGGCCTGGAATCGGACCCGCAACGCTTTGGTCATGGGATCATGCTCCACCCAGCTGAGCCACAGCGGCCAGGGCACCCCGGGGGCATCTCAGCAGGAAAGCAAACGTGGCTCCTGCATGGCCAGTTCTCGTTTTTTGAGCAAAGTCATCAATGTGGATTTTTCTGTATTTTGAATGTTGGTTAATGTAAAAAATACCACACAGATCAAAAAACTCACTTTTGTGGGCCAGCTCTGACCCCCAGGTGCCTTGCTTGAGACCCCTGACCTATCCGGTCCTTCGGGCTGCAGAAAAGGCTGCTACGAGCCGGAGGACTCGGTGGATGGCCAAGAGAGAGGGCCCGGGCCCGGGGCGGGCTGGGCCTGCCTGCCACGCACGCCTGCCTCTCGCAACCTCGGTGTCCTCTTCTGGAAAACAGAAATTTAACAGCTGCCTGGCAGGTGCGGGGGGAGCTTGGGACGGAGCTGGAAGGGGTCAGGGGGGCTGTCGGGCGGGCGCTCGGAGTCCTCACACGCCCCCTTTCAGCCCGGGTAGCCCAGCCCTGGGTCCCTCATACCAGCCCCTCCCACAAGCTCCCCCTCTGAGTGTGGTCTGAGCAGGAGTCAGGACAGTCTGCCACTTACCAGCTCCGTGACCTCAGGCAAGCCCCTTCTCCTCACCGGGGGCCCTGGCACCCCATGCCCTGCGCCCACGGGGCTGTCGTGAGAGTTAGAGATGAGGGGTGTACGCAGCTCTGCACTTTGGGGCTGGGCTGTGTATGTGGAAGGCCTGTGTTTATCCACTCAGCCTGTCAGAGCCCAGCTGTGCTCCCGAGAGGGGGCAGGGGAGGGGCTGGGGAGGGGGGGGGGGGGGCAGGCCTGCAGCAGAGGCAAAAACGGGCAAACCCAGGCCTCAGATATGTTTGTTTGACTCACAGAGCTAAAAATTTTTTAAAGGAATTCACTTCTAAAAAATAGAAGATTTCAGTGAAAATCAGATTTCCAGCTCCTCCTGGAAAACTAAAATTTGGCAATCTGAGCGTGCTTCCTGCATGGTGACCGTCGGCTGCAGCCAAGCTTTAGCCGGGGCTGTATTCTCCAATTAGCCACAATCGCCACCCCTCCCTACGGGGTCCTGCACACGGGGCCGGCTCTCGGTTGCCATCGGCCACAGGATCTGTACCCTCATTTTCCTCCTAGCCAGACCCTTTCGCTTGTTATCCACCCCGCCTGCAGCCACTTGAGTTCTAACCCTTGACCTAGATACCAAGCAAGGTGGGAAGTGACCTCACACACCAGCCCTTACTGTGTTTCTGTGCCGACCCTGTACACCTGCCCTGCAGTGTTGTCATCTTAATTTCCAGAGGAGGAAGCCGAGGTCCTGAGAGGCGGGCGCAGCCCCTCTGCTAACACTCCTCTTCCGAAAGGTCCCCCTGGAAGAGGCCAGCTTCTCAGTCGCCAGCTCAAGGTTCTCCACCTTGGGATCCGGTTTGGCGTAGGGACAGGGAGCCCAGCCAGCGGCTGGAAAGATGTGGGGTCAAGGCTGAGCTTAGTCATTGATCTGCTCTGTGACTTTGAGCAAGTCTTTCCCAGTCCGTGAAGGGGGGGAGGGGGCGTAGTTATATTTAGAAGGGCTGGGCCAGCCCAGGAGTGAAGACCAGCGGCTCTGCTGCCCGCAGCTCTGCCGGGCCCTCCCTGGCTCTTGTGGAAGCCTTGGCACCCTCCAGCCACCCTGCAGGAGGCGGCCGGGCCCGGGGCGCCACCTCCTCACGTCCACAGAGCCAGGCTCCCTCACGCTCCCACTGGGCGCTCAGCCCTGCGCCCAGCACTCTTGGGTTCCCTTTAGCATCTGGACTCCACGACACTGTCACGAGAGGGGCATTATCGTTGCATTTCACAGATGAGGACCCAGGTCGGAGGGAGAAAAGACTTGACAGCGAGGGCTCACAGCTGAGGCGGGGGCTGAGTTCAAAGCCTCTCATGTCTGAACCCAAAGCCTAGCTTCTTCTGCTCGTATCAGCGAAGCTCTTGGGCACTGACACTTTTAAAACCCCTTTCTGCTCTTCGGGGTCAGGCCAAGGGTCCTCCCTGTCCCCTGGGCCTAACAGGCAACAGCACCAGGGCGCGTTCAGGAGAGGAAGCGGGCGTGTCCCCGGGCACACACCCACCTGTGTCATTCGGCAGAGCAGCTCGCGGGGGGGGGGGGGAGCGGGGCAGGCCAGCTCACCTGGCGCCAGGGCATGCAGACCACAGTGGGTCTGCGGCACCACAGGCCGGCCCGGGGAGCCAGGGCTGGCTGCTGCGTCCTGCTCTAGAGGAGCTTGGTGTGCATGTGGGCAACCTGTATGTGCAGAATGGCCTGTTTGTGTCCCTGGGGGCCACTTGGACCCTGTGGGTGTGCACATGTGTGGCCACATGACCTCAGAGCCTCACGCACGGGAGGGCCGGCCAGGAGGTGAGCACAGGTGCTGTGCTCGATCCCGGGCAGAGCAGCCCCTGCGAAGCCCATTCTGGCTCAGAGGCCTGGCCTGCCGTTCCTCTCCCTCCAGGATCCCTCCCCTCGTGGAGCCAGGGCTGCCAGGCACCAGCGAACACCTCCCGTCGGGACAAGACCCACACAGGCTGGTGGGGCTCTGACAGGCGTGCGTGTGTCCCTGCTTATGTCTGATGATCTCGGTCGGCTGCCCCTCACCCTCTCATCTCCTCGTCCCCTAGGACCCTCAGAGCGGCAAAGCTTCCTGCCTGGGACTGGAGGTGAGAAAGAGCCTAGCAAAGGGTGAGAGCCAAAGCTTCCAGAAACCCCCCCAGCTCGCCCACCCACCCACCCATCCATTCGCCCATCCATTCATCCATTTCCAAGAATGCAAGAGTGTTTGCACACTTGGACTGAGTGTGGGGAAGGGTGGATAGCAAGCTAAGAGACAGAGTGTGTGACAGGGAGCGTGTACACAGTGTGACAGCCTACTCCAAGGGTCTGGGATACATGAGGGACACCATGGTGAGCAGGTGTGAACAGGCACAAGCAGGGCAGCTGCGAGTGTGTTATGATCAGGGAGGATGGTCGAGGTGAGTGCGCTGTGATAGGTGGTGGCTGGTGCGAGTGCGTAGCTGTGCCTGGGTGTGTACACAAAGCTCCCACTAGGTGTACGGGGTGGGTGCACAGGTAGCCGAGCGTATGGGTCTGATGGAATGACCAAAGGCCATAGTGCATGTGTGTGGACCTGTGGCCTTGTTCATTGTGTGACAATGTGTGATGGGACCCCAGAGTGTGTGCCACGCTAAGTGTGGGACGGCGAGTGTGCTCAGTGCCTCGCAGACAGCAGAGCCACGCGAGCGCTTTGCTTGCTCTAGAGGAGAAATGAATCAACTCGGTCGGACCCCCTCCCGACCATGGCGGGAAGCGCCCCCTCCCGAACGGCCATGCGGAACAAAGGGGCTGCCGGCGGCAAGGCCAGGCGCAGGCCCGGATTCTACACACAGGGGCTGGCCGGCGGGGGCCCCTCGGGGGCTCGGCCCGGACAGCGGGACCCGCCCCCGCCCCGCCCCGCTTCGGCCAGGAGCCTGGACAGGGACACCCGCCGCCCCCAGCCGCGCGCGCACACGGACCGGGCTCACACGAGACCCATGCAGCGCGCGGGGCCGAAGCCCCGCCGCCCAGGGGGTTCGAGGACCCTGGACAGCGGCCCCAGGGCCCGCGAGACAGAAGAAAGGGTTCTAAGCCGCCCGCCGCAGGGGCAGCAGGCGCGGGCGCGGCGCTTACCCAGCCGTGCCGCCGATCCGTCTCCTCGGCACGCTGCGCTCGGGATCCCGCGGCCGCCGCGCGAGCGGCCTCGGCTGCCTCCGGCCGGGCTGGCGGGCGGACCCGCGGACTCCGCACCGCTGTCCCCCGCGCCGGCTCCGCGCTCCCGCCCCGCGCCCCGCCCCGGGCATGCGCGCTGGCCGACTCGGGCCTCGGAGCCGGGAGGGGCGGTGCCGGCGGGGCAGCGGGGCCGAGGGAGGAGGAACGCCCCTCACCGCGGCCCCTGGGCTCCTGGGGTCCCCCCTGTACTCGACCCGGTTCCCATTGCACACACTGAGGGGCGGAGAGGCCGCCCTGTCGCTGCACACCAGCTGAGGGCGGGGTGCACTGTCTCAGATCTCCCGCACCCCAGCCCCGCAAGCACCCTCTCCACGGTTCACCGGGAGCACGGCGGGGCTCAGAGAGGGGGAGCCACTCGTCTGAGACACTCAGCGCCTGGACGGGGACGCAGGCCGGGGAGACCTTCGAGGTCTCACTGCGGGGACATTTCCCGCCTCCCCTCGGCCGCGCGCGCTTCCGGCCTTCCCTGCCCCGCCCCCGCCCTTTGTCTCGCCGCTGCCCACGCCCCGCGAGCCGAGCAGACACGGGCGGTGGTGGAGACGGGGGGGGGGTGCCGTGGATTCCCCCGCCACCGCCTCCCGCGCCAGGTGGCCGCCCACCGTCTAGTCTGGGCGAGCCCCTGCTCCTCCCCCTGGGTAGCCAGCCTCGAGCAAACCACCTCGCTTCTCCGAGCCTCAGCTCCGGATCCGGGAAACGGGACCAGCACTCAGCACCGCACAATGGTGCTGGGAGGATGCAGGGCCGAAGCAGAGCTCAGGGGCTTCCAGCCGAATAAGAGCAGCCAAGGCCGTTGGGGCTTGCGGCCCCCTCCGCCGCGACGTTTCTCTGCAGGGAAATAGTCCCTTCCCCTTTGAGTTTCCAGAGGAGAAAAAATAATTCTGTAATTGCCGAGAGGCGATAAATCCCTCTCGCTTGTACCTTGAAACCACCCACTAAAAATGGTAATGGCTAACATTAATATAATGCTTATTTAGGGGCAGGCACCGTGCTAAGTTTTGTTTACTGGCTTCATCCAAATTTTAATTTCCAATCACTTAGGAGAATGTTAATATTAATGTGTCATATCTCCATTTTTTAGCTAAGAACATTGAGAGACTACTGATCGATCACTTGTCTCTGCTCACACAGCTAACTAGTTAGTAGTGGCGCTAACTCCTGAGACCTCGTGTTTAGCCCTTACTTTCTCTTCTTCTCACTTTCCTGGTGAACCCTGTCAGTGCGATCTTTAAAAAATCTAGATGGCAAAGGAAGAAAACCCACCGGACGGGCGTCCTCAGACAGCATCCCAGGGAAGCAAAAAGCCGCAGAGGGCCGAGGAGTTTTCAGCACCGCGGACAGCGTCCGGGCCAGGCCGGCGCACGCACTAGCGTTTCAGGTCCTGAAAATCGCTCACTCGCTGCCCGCGAGGGTACTTCACTTCATAGTTTACACACGTACAGTCCTTCAGGGTAAACATTATTGGCCTTGGCCGGGTGGTTAAGCTGGTGGGAGTGTCGTCCCCCCGCCCCACCAAAAGATTGTGCATTCAGTCCCTGGTCGGGGTGCGTACAGGAGGCAGCCAACGATGTTTCTCACATCAATGTTTCTCTCCGTCTCTCTCTAAAAATCAATGAATATGCCCTCGGGTGAAAATTTTACAAATTTTTAAAAATTAAAAATTTAAAATCCCCACTGAGGCAGAGCAAGGGCAGATCTGTCTGACCCAGACCAAGACATGCGCGCGGAGGCCCAGGCGTTGTCCAGGTGAGAGGCGGGGCTGCCTGGACCGAGACCACACTGGTTGGGATGGAGAGGAGGGGCAGGGTTTGAACTCATCTGGCCCTTGGCTGTGGGCTGGATGTGGGCGTGAGGGCTCTGCTGCTCCTCTGAGTTTCTGCCCTGGGGAGCCAGTGAAGGGAGGAGAGATACCCAAAGGGCCCTGGGGAAAGCAGGGGCTTGTGGGACAGCTGTGCTCTCACCTACAAGTGCAAAATTGAGCTCAGGAGTGGCTAAGGCTGGCAGGCTAGGGAGCTGGCGGTGTGCGTCAGGAGGACGTGTTGGCACATGAGGGGAGCACATGGGCCAAACAGGGGGAAACCAAGACCCCAGGCCGACCCGGAGAGCACCAGCATACGGGGCCAGCTGGGCACCGGGGCCTTTTGTTCATGAAAAACGAGAAACAGTTGTCTGAGAAACCAGAAGAAACCTGGGAAAGTGTGATGCCTCAGACGCCAAGGGGAGAGAATGTTCCAGAGGAAGGGCAGGGCCAACTGCATCAGGAAGACAGGATATGGCCCGAGGAATGACCTCCAGACTTGAAAAGAAGGTAGTGGACATTTGATGAAAGCGCAGTCCATGGACTGGTGGGGGTGGAAGCCAGACTTGGCCGCGGGGGCGGGTGGAGGAGGAGGGCAGTTGATGGGTGAATAGGAGTAAGGAGCTCCTGGAGAGGGCAAGCAGATGACCCCTCAACAAGTTTGGGCTTGGGAGGAGAAAAGAGATAAGATGGTCTCTATATGGGGCTAGGAGGAGTTTGGAGGCATTTAAATCCTGAAGGGGGAGATACCAGGAAGGGAGAGCATGACTGCTGTGCCCAGACGCTTAGGGTGGGAGGGTAAGTCGGGGCCCAGCACTCTGGGGCAGCTCACACACCCTGAAATGAAGATGGAGGAGGAACATGGTTTCCTTAGGAGGTGCAGGGACACCGGCAGCAGAGTGGGAAGGTGGCCCAGGAGAGGAAGGCATCCAATCAGAGGCGGTTATTAAGCCGGCTCCCACAGTGGGGAACTGAAGCTCAGTCCTGCAGGAAGTCTTGGGAAATGGGATAAAGGCACATCTTAGAATTCCCCTGGCCAAGGGCGAGAGCGCTGGTGTATTTATATCTGAGTGCCTGGCAGACGCCGGGCTGTGTGTTAATTAACTCCCAGGTGCTCTGGCTCCCGGCGCAGGGGGGCAGAGAGGGCTCTGCAGCCGGAGGGCAGCTCGTGGAGGAGCACGCAGGCCCTGGCTGTCGGGAGTCCCGCTGGCGGGCCCGGAAGTGGGGAGCCGTCGGAGGGGATGCGGTCAGAGCTCCACCCGCGCCTGCAGCCCGGGCACCGTCAGGGCCGCGTTCCATCTGTGCCCTTTGCCACACTCCAAGCACTCTTGTTCCCTGGGGACTTGTTGATAAAAAAACGTGTTTAAAAACGAACACTTTCAGACAATGAAACCGAACGCGAAGGCAGAGTGGTAGCTCAAAAAGGGCATGGAGGCGGGCGGTGGGCCCCGCCGCTGCCCCTCCGGGACCCACGGCCAGGCCTCGGCCGATGTCTTTCTGAGCCTCGCCTCGGCTGTTTTGGACAGCTCTCAGAGCTCTACGGAGAATGTAGGGAGAGAGAAAAAAACCTAAACAACAAAAAACATAAAACCCCACACCAATCGCCACGCATTGTGTAGCGCTCATGGCGGACACCAGGGCAATGGTGAGCCCCACACGGTGCCCCGTTTCTGACCACAGCACCTCTACTTCTCTTGGCAAACGACCCCCCACTCCCGTCCAGTTGGTGGGGTAGGACTCGCCCCACATCCAGCTTGAGGGGTGGGCAGGGACCCAGCCCTGGCCTACCGCTGTGCAGTGACTAGCTCTGGGGGATGGGGTGGAGCACAGGACCCGGACCAGGGCAACTGGCTCTCACACTGGCCTGGAGCTTTGGGGGTTGCTAAGTCCATGCTGTGTCCCCGGGGCTGTTGCGGGGTCATGTTTGTCCCCACATGGAGCGAGTCTGCCTGGGCCCGGGTTTTGGCTCATTCTGGGGTTTGGGCTCTTTTTTGACAACCAACATGGTCACCTGCACCCGTGTGAGTGTGTGTGTGCGTGTATTTTGGTCGGTCTGTGCTGGGAAGCCATACACACTCATACACACCAGAAGATAAACAAGTGCCTGCAGCTCCTTGGCTGGCGCCCAGGCCGGGGGTGGAATAAACAATCCCGGTGACTTTCTGAAAAGCAAGCATGTGTGGCAACAGGCGCCATGGAGACAAGCAGACTGTACCAGAGCAGAGCCAGCAGCCACCCCCCATGCCACCCCTGCACACACACACGCATCTCGTGCTCTCTTATGTTCATATCATGTCCACATCCACTCTATCAAACACGGTCCCCCCTTCCCACCCAGGCACACCCACCCTCAGGGCCTAGCCAGTTACCCCCATTCCAGCTTTGCTGGAGGCTAAAGGCTTTTGAGAAGTTCTGAGCGTCCCAGTAAAACAGCATCCACAGTTCCCGACCCTTTGCTTGGACAGCGGTTCTGGTCTAGACCCAATTTCAGGGAACCACAGCCTCTAGGGAAGTGGGGTGGTATCTGTGGCGGGGATCGTATGGCAGGCAGTGCCATGTAAACCCAGCTTTCTGGAGAGTGCTTGTGTTTGCTCCAGGGGTGCACACACAACACACGCTCACCGGCTCCTTCAAGAAACTCACCCGGACCCTGTATCCCCTGAGGCTCGTACGGACACATCCCTGAATACAGACCCTCAGATACCCAGCAGTCCTCGTGCCAGCAATGTGGAACCCAATATACCCTGGATGATGCCGGTGACGGCGAGGTACCATTGCTGCCGCCTAACTGTTTTACCACCAGTCACCATCTTGTTACACTGACTCTTTGAGGGAAATCATCTGAGATCGAGAGCATCATTATTTCCATTTCATAGGCGGGGAGACGGGAGGTCAGGGAGGTGAAGTAACTGGCCAAGGCCATGCAGCTGGAAAGCGGCAGCGCTGGGAGCCGAATCCAGCCACACTGCTAGCTCTTCTTCATTTACTCAGACGGACCTGCAACACCCCATGTGAGTGTGGGCACACTCACACTCACACACGCACACGCACGCGCACACACACACACACGCATGCGCGCGTGCAAACCCTGCCTCCTCAGTCAGCCCAGACAAGTGACGTCCCTGGACTTCCTGTGCCCACTCCGGCCTCTTCCTCCGCACCACTCCCTGGCCCTCCCAGCCGCTCCGAGATCCACGTGCGCCCTGGCCTGGGCACCGCGAGCACAGCCTGCTGCCTACACACGCCCCTCCCTTTCCCTCCACATGCCCCCCCCTCCACTGCAGGCCCCAGCCCAGCTGGGGGCGGCCCCAGGATTTGGATGGGTGACTCAGGCTGAATCATGGCCCAGCTGCTCCGTGGCAGCCCCCTCCCCCATTCTGCCCGGAGAGTCTATTTCGAAGGCAGAGGTGGGCCTTTTGGGTGGGAGACAGGGAGTGGGGCCGTAAGGGTGGGTGCTTGAGAACAGGGGGAGTCAGGCACGAGGCCCTCTGTGCCCTCCCCGCCCCTCAGAGGCCTGCAAGAGCTCTTAAGCAGCCCCCAGGCATGCCCCTCCCTCTTCTGGGGAACGGGTCCTTCTGCCTGGTGAGACCGGGGCCCCCACGGTTTTCAAAGCACTTTCTCATCAGCATCTAGTAAGAGACACTAGTCCTACGGGGTGGGAATTAGCATTCTTACTTTCGAGCTGAGGAAACCAAGGCTCAGAGGTTCTATGAGCTGTCCGGGGCTGCACAGTTGAAGTAACAGAACCAGGAAGCAAGCTGAGAGGCTCCCTGGTCCAATCTGCGCAAGGCAAGGATTAAGCCAGGAGTTGCCCTGCAAGTGGGCATGGCAGGGCAAAGCAGGGACATGTTGGGGCTGTGGTGTGGTGTGTGGCAAAGGGTCTGTGGGGGTGTACGACAGAGGCAGGATTGGTGGCTTGGTGTGTGGCAAGATCGTGACAAAATTTTTCTCTTTATCCTTCTGAAATTTACAGATCATGGGATTATTTGTGCTTTTAAAACTTTTCAGTGTTTCAGGCCGATATCCCAAGGCTCACTAGTACAAGGCTGTGGAGCTTCTATTGAGAAGACAAGCTATGGGATCTTTGCTTCCTGAAGCCTCAGTTTCCTCATCTGAAAAAATGGGTCCAGGCTTCCCACAGGGTAGGCCATTGAGAGGCGCGAGTGAATTGTGTCTGTACTGCCCTTTAGAAGCCAGGAAGGACTTCACGAATCACAAAGGCTGCTGTTTTCCACATTCAGTCTTTGCAAAAACACCCCTGGGTGCTGGGCAGAGGGCGGGGTGGGCTCCTGGGAGCCCGGGAGCAGCACTGAGACGGGGAGGGGCGACTGCTCTCCCTTCCCTCTGCCTGGGCTGGCCTGGCCTCCCCCCACCCGCAGCCCAGAGCCGGTTTCCAGGCAACAGGATGGATGCAGGGATGGTTCTGGAGGGAAGAGAGCTATAAATAGGGAAGGGAGAAAACAAAAATAAAGTTCCAGAGAAAGCTGCGGAGCCACCGTTACCAGGGGGTGGGGTGGGAGTGGGGACCTGGGAGGGCGGCAGGGAGTGGTGGGGACACAGGGACAGCCCCCAGCCCTTCCTCAGGGGGAGAGGGTGGTTTTCAGGTTAGCCAGCCAGCCAAGGTCCACAGAGCGAGGACGTGGCGGCGGGGGCGGGGGGGGGTGTCTCTGTGTGCACAGCTGAGCCAGGATGGGGGTGACTGGGAGAAATCACTGCTGGCTGGAGGGCAAGGGAAAGCCCAGAGGAAGGAAAGTTTTCGTCAGGCAGAGCTGAGGGCAGCTGTGGAGGAAGGAAGGAGCCCAGGCAAAGGAGGGAGGGTGCGGGTCCGGCTGGGCCCTCACACCCCAGCAGGCCTGTGCACGGGGTCGGTGAGGAGGGGCTGCCGTCTGCTGCAAGGCTGTCCCTGCGGGTCTTTCGGGCCATCGCCTTTTCATGCATGTTTCAGCTACAACCTAGGCTCCCCGGAGGCCCGAGCAGACCACCCATCACACACACCGAAGCACACACGTAAGTGCACACACGCAGCTCAACACCCCCCACGTACGTGCACACACAGCCTCGCTTGCAGTGTGTGTGGAATTGCACCAGCGCCTGCTGCATCCACTCCGCTGCCCCGTTTCCTCTGTTGGTGGTTTTGTGTGTTTGTTTCCCCCAAGAGTAAGTGCCTTTTGGAAAACTGGGCTTTGGGGTCAGGTTTGTGGCCTTTGTCCCTTCCCAATGACGTTCCCCAGGGCAGGTGACTGCCTCTCCAGCCTCCATTCTCTCATCTGTAAATTGGGACTAATAACAGGGAACCCTGGAGCACAGTTTCCAGAGAAATTAACGGAGACAAGCGTCGGATGCCTGGGACAGACCGGGCGCTTGGTAAACAGCTCCATCCCTATCCTGGGGGAGGGGCGGTTCTCACCCTTGCGTCCAGTCACCTGCCATCTGACACAGAGCCAGCATCTTCCGCTGACGATTCTGGCCCTGTGCCTAGAATACATTTAAAGTGGCCCCAGCAGAAGACAGCATCGGTCGGTCTCTGAGCAGAAATCAGGCTCAGAAAACCAGGTGTGTGGCTTGGCACCCGGAAAGGAAGAACACCCCCTCCAAGCCAGACGGTGAACCTCACTTTAGCATCTAAAATTGGGAATGGGGCACTGTAGCTGGCGAGGAGGTGGCAAACTCAATTCTTTAGAGACCAGGCAGTTCATGAAAATAAGTGGATGTGGGGAGAAAGGAACTGTTTGTTGCCAACTGGAATAAAAGGGGAAAAAAAAAACACCAAAAAACCTTGTGCTAGCAAATTAAACATCTCGATAGGCCAAATGCAACCTGAGGGCCAGGAATTTGCAATCCCCGCAGACCGTGAGTAGGAAATAGTGTCCTAATTCAGTCAAAAAGGGATCTGGAGATCCTGGCACCCTGACGTGAGTCGGGTGGATCCAAGCTCACTGGTTTGTTCTCCCTACACACACACCTGCCAGCTGCCTCGGACTTCGGGAGGCAAAGGCTCCCTGCGGCGGCCAAGGTGACGCGCGTAGGCTGGCTTCCCGCAGGGACCAAGGCCTTCCATCCCGACCCCTCGGGGAAAGAGGCAGCACTACCACTTGGGGTTGAATGAACAGCGCTAGTTCCTTCTAGCCCTGGGGAGGCAGAGAAGAGGGTGCGGTCTTACGCTGGCGAGCCTGGGGGCGTCCAGCGTCAAAGAAAAGCGGGGTTCCGCCGGGGTGGGGGCCGGTCTCTGTGGGAAGTTACGGGGACTCTGCGGCAGAGAGGGCGGGAGCGTCGCATCGATGAAGGCGGGGCCAACGGGAGCTGCACCTTCGCCTTTTCGGAGGCGGGCCTCTGAGCAGCACCGTGGTGTCTCCGCCCCTTCTTTCCCACACCAAGGCGGTGTTGGGGTCCCTCTAGTGTCGATCCCGGTCTGCTCGAGGCGCCAGGCCCGCATCCGGATTTCTGCAGACCCTCGTCCCGCTCAGCCCAGGCCACTGACCCTTGGGCGCCTTTCCGGGAGGGGTGGAGCAGCTGTGAGTCCTTCTGAGGCAACTGTCCATCTCCTCTCCCCTTGGATGGGCTTGTCTGCGTTAGGCAGGTGTGCGCAGGTGTGTATGTGTGTAAACGTTCTGGGGAGGAGAGAAGTCTGCGCGTAACAGCGTCTTTCAGTGCCCGCGCTGCTGGTTTCCGAGGACTTCACGGCGCGCGTGCAACTGTGAGTGTGCACGTGTCCGCAAGAATCGGCCAGCCTGCCTGTCTGCGTGTCTGTGCTCTAGCGCCCGCCAGGGCGCATACACTCTGGCTGGCGCGCAGAGACCCCCGTGCGTGCACGCATGTCCGCGCGTGCGTGGCCGCCCGCGGGCCTGCGCTGCTTGTGCGGTGAGGTGTGAGCCTGTCCACCTCGCGCTGCGGCGGCGCGGGGCTCCCCGCCTCCCTGAACCTGCAGGAGGGGCTTTACCGCCCAGCAAGTGGCTCTTGAGGCCGCCTGCTCGCCACCCCCCTCCCCCGCCCCAGCCAACTGCCTGTCCCAGCCTGGGGGGAGACCCCTTATCCCCCAGGTCATCCCGCGGGAAGGGGAGGAGATGGAGAAGCTGAGGTCCGAGGTTGTCAGTCTCGTACCTGGGCCGAGTGTTCTGGGCCCCAAGGAGGGGCGTGGGGCAGTTTGGGACTTGGAAGCCCATCCGCCACCCGAATCCGGCGCCCAGCCCTGCCCTAGCAGCGCCGGCTCCAGACAGGTTGACTTTATTCATGGACACGCAGGGGCGGCTGTGCCGCCCGTCCGGAACACGCTCACACGAGGTTTGGGGGGCTCTCCATGCCACAGTCACGACACACAACGCCCGCGCTTGGACCGGGCCGGCTGGGGGAAGGGGCATGGCACAGCCTGGCTCCTGGTTCTGGTTAAAAAAAGGTCCTTGGGGTCGATGTGGGAGTGGGGTGGAGGGCTCTGGGGAGGCCGGGGGTTGCTCGGAGAGCCTCTGTCAGGGTAGGGTAGGGAGCCGTCGCTTTCGGTTCTTCGTTTAAAAACACATAGAACATGCTACATCCCCGCAGACGCTGGACGGGATGGGGCGGGGAGGGGGCAACACGGGTGGGGCGAGGCTCCCAATGGCCTTGTCCACGCCCCAGGGTTGGACGCCGGTGGGTAGAACAGACAGATGGTCAGACACTAACACAGGCTCCGAGGGGGTGCCTCGGAGTGAAGGAAGATCTCGTGTTTGGGGGGAGGGGCAGAAGGACAGCCCTGGCTCTGGGGGGCGGGGCAGGGACCAGGAAGGGATTGTGCTGCTGGTGGGGGCCCTCTGGGGCCCTTACGCCTCTGGTTCATACTCTTGATACTCCTCCTGCATCAGAGGGATGGGGGTGGAGTGGAGAAGAGCAAAAGAGGGAGGGGTTGGCAACCGAGGGGCCAGGCTCTGAGCCTGAGACCCCTCCCCCTGGGCAGGCAAGGGACCTGGATGTTGGGGACAGCCTGACCCCTCCTGGGCCGGGGTGCCTGGGGCCCAGGGCTGCACCCCATCCGCCCTCCCTCCGTGCCGACACTTCCTGGGGCCTGGGTTCTAGGAAATGGGGAGCTGAAGCTCCCTGACCAACCCTACACTGCCAGGAGCCTCCCACCGCAGCCGAGGTGGCAGCAGGCCTCCGGGAAGCCCAAAGCCCCGCCCAGCCCCGCCCCCTCTCACCTGGGGCGGCTCCTCATAGCTCTCTCCTTCTGGCTCCATCAGGGGCTCGATCAGCGGCTCCTCAGCGGCTTCCTGGGCCACTTCCTCGGGCTGCGGACAGAGAAGGGACAGGGCCTGTGAAGGCAGCTGGGGATACCCCCCAATTCCTACCCTGGGAAGCTCTTGGCTGATTAGGGGAAGGCCAGGCTTTGTTGGCAGTGCAACCAGAATTTCTAGGTACATTGTTTATTCGGAGTACTTGGGCCTTGGGATGAATGCGCGAGGAGCGAAATCCCTCCGAATCCTGCTTGCACCGGGGGGGGGGGAGGGCAGCGGGGCTCTCTACTCCCCTCTCCCCAGCCCGGCTGCCTCCTGCTCTTCTGTCATTTGGATTGAGTGGGATGGGGAGCTGGACAGCATATACAGTCACTTATTTATCCCTGCCCCCTTGCGTCAGGCTCTGTGGGGGGGGGGCCCTGGGACCCCAGAGATAACTCTGGAGGTTCCTCTGGGCTGGAGGGAGATGGAGGCTCGTGGCTGAGCTGGGCAGGGGCTCTGAGCCGGTCCCCTGCCACCTTGCACCCATCCCTCCCCCAGGGTCCTGTGTGGCCTGGTTTCTTCAGCTGTTGCTATTTTAAGATAAGCTGGAAGCAACAGCTCAGTGGTGTTGCTTGGATGTGTGAGCTAAGACTCTCCCTCACCACCCCCTCGGGTACTGCCCAGCCTGGTGCAGAGCAGCAGGCACACGAAGGGGGGGGGCTGCTGCCAGACGCACAACCAGCTGCCTGCAGGTAAGCACAGGTATGTGCGCAGACCCGGGATGGACACACACACACACACACACACACACACACAATGACCTGGCTCCCATGCACAGCTGCACAAAGCCACGTGGGCTGGCACATGCCTGGACCCCTGGGGGAACCTGCAGGCAGGAGGGCACACCACCTCCTCCACTCCCACAGGTACTGCTGTCTTTCCCTGCTGGGCGGAGATAGCACTCCCGGGGCCGGACCGCCGTGCGCCCTAGTTGCCCCAGCTCCCTCCGCGTGGCTTCAGCTCCTTTGAATTACCTGTCTAGGTGGGCCCCTGGGCACAGGAATCCAAAGCTCCCAACCTGTCCCATTCTCTCCAGGGTCCAGCTGGGCATACCAAGGCCCAGGAGGTGGGAAAAGTTAGTTTGCTCAAAATCACCCAGCTATGACCAGAACCCAGGAAAGAAACACAGTGTTGAAAATCCCAGCTTGAGCACATCACTGGGGAACAGCTCAGAAATCAGTAAGAGTAGAAGGATGCGTGCCCTGTGGCTTTGTCGTACACGGACAACAACTGTGGAGACCAAGAGTGCAGAGCACGGCCTCCTGTTGAGTGGAAGAAACCAGGCACAGGAGGGCACGCCCTGCAGGATTACACTCATATGAAGTTAAAAAACACCCAGCTCCCTTGTGGCGGGAGATGTCAGGAAGCAGTTATCCACGGAGGCGGGGCAGGGCCAGGCCGGAGGGGAGCAGAGCCAGGTGCTGAGGCTGCAAGTGGCGCGAGGGCGCCCACTCTCAGGGTCGTGCGAACGAGAGCCCAGAAGGGGCGCGCCCCTTAAGCTCTGTGCCCAGACGCCTCCCTCGTCTCACCCTAGTCCTGGCCCCGGGAAGGCGGTGGAAGGCAGCCTCCAGGGGGCTGATGTCCTGCGTCTTGGCCTGGGTGCTGGTAACCGGGGGCGTTTCCCAGCCTGGCCGCTTGCTAGCTGCCTGGCATCAGGGACGTCACTGCACTGCTGATCTCAGCGGCCTTGGGTGGGAAATGAGATGGCACCTCTGCCTTGTAGGGGTGCGGGAGGCTTCCGTGATGACACACGTGAGCAGGCAGGGAGGGAGCGACACTCAGGAACACGCGCCCTGGGCTAGCACGTCCCCCATGCCTGGGGACCTCAAAGGGCTGGGGTTTGGATTGTAAATCTAGGAGCTTGAGCTTCCTTGAGAAAGGAGGCTTGAGGTGTCGAGAAGGGCTGGTAGGAGGATGGCAGCTGGAGAACGATGGTTCCGTGCAAACGTCCCTGACAAACAGCCCGGGCCGGCCTCCCTCTGCACATGGCCTGGCACCGGGTAGGCACCAAGTGATGCTAATGCTAAGGACCTGAGTCTATCTCCCCAACCACCTTCTCAGGCAGGTGGGAATGGGATCTGGGGCAAGTCGCTCCGCCTCTCTGAGCCTCAGTTCCTGCATCTGTCAAATGGGCTAACTGTGGTACCTTCTACATAGGGACGTTGTGATGAGTCAGTGGGTTACTCCAGATAACATGTCCAGAGCAGTAGCTGCCCACATAAAAGGGCAAGGAACGGGAGCAATCACTGGAAACACAACGCTAAGAGCTGGGAAGTCACACAGCTCGTAAAATGCGCAGGCAGGACTTGAACCAGAAGTTCTGGGTCAACTTCCAGACTTCTGATGGGGAAGGCGCCAACCGTGCAGGATGCCTGCAGTGGAGGGTAGGGCGGTGCCCCCTCCCACAGCCCGACGGACACGCTCGACGGAATGCACGCTGATCTCCCAAACCAGGTGTGGAAGGAGGCCCCGACCACGGACGCCGAGTCTGCGCCTGCACGTGGACAGACGCGCAGCATCCCCCCAGGCAGATGGATGGCTGTGCGGACAGACGGGCCCCCCGAGATGCGCTGTCACGCTGGTACCCCTGTGGGCACACCTGTGGCCCCAAGGGCAGACACAGACCGCTCACACGGTCATGGGGACCACTGTCTCTTCCCGAGTGCTCACTGGACGCAAGCCTGGCTCTTTCTCAGTAGTTCTCCGGGTGGGATCCCTGTACCTGCAGCGCCAGCATCACCTGGGCACTTGTTAGACATGCACATTCTCAGGTCCCGCCTCAGACCTACTGACTAAGAAATTCCAGGGATGGGGCCAATCGTCGGTAGTACGTTAACTTGGCCTCCGGGGCTCCTGCTACACACTTAAGTTTTGAGAACTGCTGATCTGCATTACCTCTCATTTCCATAAGAGCCTTACTATATTCATCTTCCATCTCACAGGCAACGATTGAGCCTCAGAGACAGGATGGGACCTGCCCAGAGTCACGCAGGCGGGAAGCAGAGGAGCTGGGGTTCAGGCCCCGCTCTGTGAGGCCCCAGAGCTCACAGCCCTTGCTCTGCGGCCTGTCCTCATGGAGGCACCTGTCTTGATGCACGGGGGAGAGCCACCGCCACTCCCCGGGGGAACAGCCCTGCACAAACGCGTGACACACACCTCGCCCTCCCCGACGGCCCGCGCCGGCTTGTGCCTGTCTCGGGGCCTCTGCATGAGCTGCTCCTACTGCCTGCAATACATTTCCCACTTGGCCCGCCTCATCCCTTGGGTGTCAGCTCAAATGTCACCCCCTCAGAAAAGCCCTCCCAGCTACAGTAGCCGCTCGTCCCTGGACTATCTATCCCATCACTCTGGTGTCTCTTCTTCACAGCACTTACCCCTGTCTGAAATGGCCTTGCTTACTGGTTGGCTTTTTACCTTCTCCTCCCACTGAAATGTCAGCTCCATGCATGCAGGTAACTATTCACCGCAGTAACCCCTAGAACAATTCCTCTTTGGCGTGAGTACTGGTTGAAGGAAAAGAAATGAATGAACAGGCAGACATGGCTGGAAGTGGCCCAGGTCACGCTTGTGAGCAGGATGCACGTACACAGCCAGGCCTGGCCCATGGTCACAGGAAGCACCACCTCTCTATGCACCTCCACATAGACTCACTCTGAGCTGAGTCTAACAGGGTCCTGCAGAAGGCGAGGCAAGGCGGCTTGTGCCCCAGGCCTGCGGGGGGCGCAGGGAGCCTCGTGGAAGGCGTACGGGTGTGCCCGGCATGCGTGTGCATTTGCATTCGTGCCCGTGTGTGGTGGGAGGGCCGCTCACCTTCAGGTCGGTGGGGAATTCCTCCCTCTTCACCAGGCCTGTGGCTGCAGCGATGTTCCCAGCCCCCGAGAACACAGCTCCTCCCAGGTGCGACGCCTGCTCCTTGGTTTTCTCGGCCACTAGAGCAGGCAGAGGGTGGGGGAAGCGGGTCGGGGGCCAGGCTGAAGGAGGCATAGGTGCCCCGCCCTGTAGCGACCCAGGGCCCCCTTTGCCGCAGGGCACCCCCTACGCCTTGGGCGCCCTCTTCCACCACCCCTGCCCCGCCCAGCGGGGTCTCTGCCTGGGGGAGGGGAGGCGCTGTGCCAGGGCGGGGCTGGTACCTGAGGCCACTCCTTGCACCACCCCCTCTCGGGTCTTGCTTCCTGCGGGAAGACAAAGGGGCACAGTTAAGGGTTCTGAGCTCAGGGAACGGAGGTCCGGCAAGTACGGTGGTTACACATGGGCAAAGGGACCCGGGCGGCCGTGGGCGTCCTTGCCCCATCACCGCCTCCTTCGGCCTCAAATCCCACCAGTCTCCCCCTCGCCCCACACTGAGCCTCCCACACTTACTTCCTCAGGACTCCCCAGGTCTGCCCGCTGCCTGTCCCTCACCACCCCTACCTGAGGCGATACCTGCGCCCCGCCCCTCGGGGCTGCCGCTGGGCCGCCGGCGCGGTGCAACGCCAGTTCAGCGAATCCTCTGCCCAGGTGGGAGCGGTGGGGGTGCGGCTGGGGGCAAGCAGGCTGTGTATTTGGAAGGGGGCCCCTGGTGCATGGCTGCCCGCATCCCACCCACGGCACTGCCGTCTGACCCGCCCCTCCTCCCACTCCGTTCTTCTCTCCTAACAAGGCTGCAAACTCCTCCTGGCCGCAGTGGAGAGTGTCTTAGGCGCCTGAAGGGTCTATGGGTGATGTGCAGATGGTAGTGGACACCCACAGCGCTGGCTGGGCTGTCCCCGGAGGGTATCGACTTGGTCACAGCAAAATGTGGGGCTGCTGGGAAAGACAAGGGGTCCTGATGTGAGGTGAGGGAAGCCCTCGAGGGAGAGGGGCACTTCCTTTCCGAAGGATCTGGCAAGTCAGACAACGGCTGACAGACCCAGAGATGGCTGTGTGGGCGGGCTGACCCCCGGGGAGAGGAGGGGAGGACAGCGTGGGAAGACGGGATTCTCACCTTAAGGCCAGCAAGACCCAGGGACAGGGATGTCTGTATGTGCACCCATTCCTCCCTCCCCTGACATTTGTTGGCACCTGCTCTGTGCCAGGCGCCAGGCCAGTCACTCACTGTCGATGCGGGTAAGAGAAGAGCGGATTCGGTCTCCAGGGCCCTAAGTAGCGGGGAGAGGACCTCCAGCGTGGGGGGGGGGCAGGTGACGGGAGGGGGCATTGCCTGGGCCTTGCAGGTGGGGAGCAGGGGGGGAGCAGAGAGGAGGCTGGAGAGGGCACATTGGGCACAGGGAGCCACGCAGGCAGGGCGCAGAGGGGCCCACGCGGGGGGCCTCCACGAAGCCCAGCAAGGCTTCCCATGTGCCCGCCGGGGCAGGAGTGGTGAGCAACAAGGCTGGGAACATGGCCTGAGGCAGGACCACGCCGGGCTCCAGGGAGCTGAGGCTTCGCAGGGCAGGAAACGGGGGCCATGGGGCTCCAGGCGGGGACGGAGGCAGGAGGGAGGCCCAAGGGGGGCCCGTAGGTGTGGGCTCAGGCCTTCTCCCTGACTCTGTCACCTCTGCCCCAGCTCTGGCCTGGTGGCCACACTGCCTCCCAGGGGGCCTCCCTGCAATTGGCTCCATCCCCAGAGGCCTGAGGGACCTTTCCAAGCCTTCCAGTCTCGTGATGATTGTCATCATGCTCTGTCCTGGCCTACAAGGGCCCACCGTGACCCCGCTCCTGCTCACCTAGCCACCCTTCCTTTGCCCTTCAGCCTCCCCCACTCCCTCTGGCTCCTTATTCTCAGCTCAGTATGAATGTCACCGCCTCTGACCACCCTACCAGAGTGGCCCCTGTCCCGGCTCTTGGTGTCAAATTCCACTATTGGAGTGCTCTGTGCCACCATCCACTGTTGCATCCTCCAGGAGCCATGCAATGGCTGGCACATAGTAGGTGGTCAATAAATATTTTTCAAATGACCCCAAAGGCAAAGGCAGCCCTCTCCAGCCTGAACACTGGACAGGCAATTCTACCCACCGCACACAAGGAAGCCTGGGACCCCAGAGGGGAGTCAGTAGGAGACTCTCCTTATGCAAATGCCCCTGCAGGCGCCCTCTCCTTTCACAGTTAGGGTGAGAGATTTAACCTCGGGCCTCGGCCACCGTGCCAGCTGGCAGCTGCAAGGAGGGGACCCAGAGGGGAGACAGCAGTGGTGGAATCACAGGCACTGGCAGGCACTGGCAGACACAGGGAGCCCCCAAAACACAGAGGGGAGGGCAGCACGGGGCAGGGCGGGGCTTCGGAGCCCGGGAAGCGTGGCTTAACCTCCGGCTCCAGGTGTATCCCCTGCGTGACCTTGAGCAAGCCGGGCAGACTGCTGCGAACCCCAGCCCCGGTCTGTGGGTGGGCAGGGAGCAGTGAGTGAGGTGAGGGTGTTCTGGCATTTCCCTCAGTACTTGGCAGAGAGTAAGGGTTCAACGCCAGTTAACTGTCACTAATGAGAAGAAGAAAAGGAAGGCTTCTCGCTTTGATCACTTAGTCCCTGGCCTTTCCGCTGAATCCCACCCTCGCCAGCCCGGCCTCCCGTCCCCCCTCCCGACGGCTGCGTCCCCAGTGACCCCTACGCACCCCACCCCACCTGCTGACTCATACTCTCCTGCCCCGACCCCCGACTCACGCCCTCCAAGCACCCGGGCCCCATCCCCGCGGCGGACACCCGGACCCCGCTGCCTGGAAGCCCCGCCCCTCGCCCACCGACGTAGAGGACGCCCTCCTTGGTCTTCTCCGCCGCCTCCGTGACCCCCTGCTTGGTTTTCTCCGCGGCGGCCACGACGCCCTCCTTGGCCATGGACAGGCCCTTCATGAACACGTCCATCCTGGCGGCCTAGGGAGGGCGAACACACGGGCACGGTGCGCTGGCCCTGCACCCTCACCCAAGGGACGGGGCGTGGGGGGCTCCCCTCCCTCCTGAGACCGCGGCGCCCTTCCAGCCCGGGCACCCCCCCACCACCGCCTTTCCCGATCCCCAGCGCGAGGCCACAGGGCCGCGGCGAGTCCTAGCGTCCTTGAAATCCGGGGACGCGAGGGGGGGCCACCGCCTCGGTTATCCGGGACCCCGCAGCCCCGCGGAACCGGAGTGCGGGACTCAGCGCGAAGCCCCGGCGCCTAACTGAACGCTCACGGCAGTGCCGCACGGCCATGCACACAAACACACTCCGGGGACACGCTCACGTGCACACACACAGGACACGCAGAGGTTCAAGCGCGCACTGACACTCGGACACACACGGGCACACGGGCGCGGACGCATGTCCACACGGCCACCCAGGCAGCTGCGGCCACAGAGCAACAGCCACACGCACCGCGGGCGCCCTCTCTTCGTTCTCCAGCCCTCTCTCCATCCCACCCAGTCCCCTCTCCATCCCTGGTTCTTTCCGGGTCTCGGCTCCCGGAGCGCGGCCTCCTCACCTGGATGCAGGGCCCGAGCTGGGGACGGAGCGCCGGCTGCGGCGGGAAGACGCAGGCGCTCGGCTAGGCCGGGCTGGGGCGGGCTCGGGGCCGGCGGGGGGATCGGGCCGTGGCTGGGCGCTCAGGCCGGTCTGCAGCGGGCGGCGCGCGGACCCTGAGCCGGCGCAGCAGTGCTCGGGCCTGGGGTGCGTCGCCTTTCCCGGCTCCCGCCTCGAGCCCTGCTCCCTCGCGCGCTGGGGCTCCGGCTCCCGCTCCGACGCTGCGGCAGCTCTGAGCTCAGCGCTGCCCCCGGCGGCCGCGCCGCCCCCTCGGCCTGACTGACAAGGGGGCGGGGAGGGTGACATCTCCGCAGAGCCCGCTAGCCTCCTGGGCCCGGGACATGCCGCGGGGGTCACCGGCCCCCAAGAAAGAGCGCATATCGAGGGGGAGACCATTCCGTGTGCCAAGAGTGGGGAAGGAATAGGAGTGCAGATGTGTTTGAGTCTGTGGGACCTTGGGCTACTCAGTTCACCTTCCGGAATGTTTCCTTTTCTGTAAAACACGGGCCGTTCACTGAGTGAACGTTTGTGGAGTCCTTCGATGGGTGCCAGGCTGAGACCACGAAAGAGAAAACGAGGCCCCTGCTCTCCAGGAGCTCATAATGGTGTCTGTGTGAGACACAGGACAGAAAATTTAAACCATACAAGGTTATTTCGACTTGTGCGAAGTGTTATAATAAAACGGTGATGTAACACAGTGACTAGAGGAGAGGGACGTGAGACCTGGAGGTCAGAGAAGGTGCCAAGGCCAAGGTGGGCGAAGGCAGCGTCTGTGAAGAGGGAGCCGCGGGGCAAAGGCCCGTAGCAGGACTGGGCCTCCGAGCAGGGAACAGGCCGCGCAACTGGAGAGCCGGGAGGGGGCGGGAGGTGGTGGGCACGACCACTTCTATGGTTATGCTGGGGATTGTCAAAACGGTCACAACACTCCAGGCACACACAGGCCTTCTGTACTGTGACAGATTACACCCAAGAAGCTGGGATCCCAGAGGAAGGGACTCTGACAGCTTCGAGCAGTCAGGGAAGGATCTACAAAGGAGGTGACATCTCCGCGGGGCTGGTGGGGGAGGTGAGGTTTCATCTGGCAGACAAGGGAGGGAGAGAGTGTTAGTCTGTGGGTACAGCTCGGGCAGGGGCACTGTGGCTGGAAACGCAGGGTGTGTAAGTGACAGGTGATAAGGTGAGCAGCCAGCAGCCAGAGTGTGCAGGGCCTGGGAAAAGTGTTCACAGGCTGCTGGTAGAGCTGTAAATTGGCACATGCTTTTTGGAAGGCAATTTGGCAATGTTTACCAAAGACAGAAATCATGCTCCTTTCAAGCCAGCGGTTCCTGCTTCCAGCAATTTATCCCTTGGATCTCTACTTGCACAAGTGCACAAAGACATTTGTGCAAGGATGTTCACTGCAGCTTGCTTTCTGGTAGCAAAAAAACTGGAAAGAACCTAAACGTCCATCTGTAGTGGATTAGCTAGTTAATTGTGGTACATCCGCTCGGCGAAATGCTACGCTGCCAGAAAGGACTAGCTGGCCCACGTGTACCGACCTGGGCGCCAAACTGGAAGGGGTGGGACAAACCAAATTTGATTCATAGAAAATTATATACGAGAGGTCTGTCCAGAAGGTACCCAGCCATGTAATATAAAAAATAGAGACGTTTATTGAAGAAGATATGAGACACAAGAAACAATGTACATAGGACAGTGACGCCTCAGTCCCCTTCAAAGCAGGCACCTTGGGACCCCACACAGTTCTCCCAGTCGCCATGAGCTGCCCTGTTGTATTTTCCTGAATCTCATCGACGGTCTGAAATCTCTTCCCTTTCAAAGGTTATTTTAGTTTTGGGAAAAGCCGGAAGTCACAGGGCACCCAATCTGGGCTGTAAGGGGGCTGAGTCACCCGGGTGATTTGCTGTTTTGACAAAAAACTCTGCATGAGACGTGATGCATGAGCGGGTGCGTTGTTGTGATGAGGCTGCCAGTCACCAGTTGCCCAGAGCTACGGCCTTCTGCATCATCTGAATAGTTTCCGCAGAGGAATGTTTGAGCTTAGTGCAAAATTAAATGCAGATTCATTGCTCTACTTGCTCAGCCATTCTGAATGCGACAACCACACAGTACACATGGTCACTCAGTGGTGTCTACTGCCCCCACTGACTAGTACAGTGCAGTCGTCATCGTTCATGCCTGCACATTCCAGTCCACTCTCCTTGGCTGCCAGTTTATGTTGATGTTGTTCAAACTGTTCTTGTTATATTAACAATGATTGGAGTTTTTCCAGATAGACTATATATATATATATATAATATACATATCCATACATATTATACACATACAAATGTGTATATATATATATACACACACACATATACATAAGTATGTATATAGATATCAGTATATACAGGGGTGGGCAAAACTAGGTTTACAGTTGTGAGTACACGAAACACAGTTTATTCTTGTATTATTATTTATTAATTATTGTATTTATTTGTATTACAACTGTAGACCTAGATTTGCCCACCCCTGTATATACTGATCACCTGCTATACTTATTATATAGACATTTTATATACAAATACACACAGACTCATTATATATCTGCTATAGAGAAAGCAGATCTGCAAGGACTTCCAGTAAAACCCCTGGCAGTAGATGCCCCTCTGGCCCTGACTGCGAGGAGTCAGAGAGAGAAGCTTTTAAATCATATCACCTTTGATTATTTTACCTTAACAGTATTTTACCTGTATAACTTTGACAGCTGGCCCAGGGAATACCTACCGTTATCATAGGCCTCTCAGCCCTGGACTTGCCCCCTCCCTGCGTGTGCGGGATGCCCCGCCCTGTGAGGCAGAGCCCACCCCTCCTCGAGGTGCCCCCGGGCCTTTCCCAGCCCTCCCGGGAGCCAGGACCGCCTCAGCCCCAGACAGCCCCGGCCGGGACTCAGAACCTGAAGCCCGTGTCAGGGCAGCAGGGAGGAGGGCGTCTGCTCTGGTGAGGACCCGCAGTGCTGGACCCGGGCCGCGTGCAGCAGCCACACCACTTCTGGGAGCATCCCGCACAACAGGACAAGCAGCACTGTCTGTGCCTGGCCGGAGCACAGGGGAGTCATCCGGGCCTGCTGGGCAGTGCGACCTGGGGCATCGTCCAGGTCGTGTGGCCTCCAGGGAGAATTCTCTGGCCTTCCCAGAGAGTTTCTGAGCTGCCCAGGATTGGTTACTAAACTAATCTGCTCGAATTGGTGAGAAGTGGTTCCTGTGATTCATGACTAAACCTCCCTGAATGCCAGAGTGGGCGAGGAGGAAGGACCAGCAGAGGGGAGGAGAGCAGGGAGAGAGGAAGAAGGCCAGATGCAGTGTCCGTACTTCCTATTGCAAGAACTGGGAGGTGGCTGCAGGGCTTTAAGCTCCAGAGAGACCTACGTGATATTTACATGTTATGGGGCCAAATGGGCGTGGTTTGGAGGGGGCATAGCTAGAAGCAGCAAGATCTGTGAGGAGGCTGCCACCGAATCCACGGGAGGGAAGACAAAGCCACGAGGCTGTAGGGGGCAGGGGCGCTGCGGGATTTGGTAATTTATCGGGTGCGGGAAGAGGGAGAGGGGCGAGTTTAGGAAGATTCCCAGATACCTGGCTTGGACATCAGGGTGAACAAGGCTGCTGCAAAGTGAAACGCTGTTGTGGGTGGGGGCATGGGTCGGCTTGCGTGGCGCCCGCCGGATGCGCGGGCCCTGGCAGGCAGGCGGGAGGAGGTGTCCGGCAGAAAGCCGGTAGCTGAGCCCGCAGCGCGGCAGCAGGCGTCAGTCGCTCCAGCTGGTTTCAGGAATAGATTTGGGCTGGGGGGTTGGGTAAGGGGAAATCTTTAACGCATGGCTCTCTTAGGGGCGGGGGGTGGGGTGGGGTGGGGACACCTTGATTTGTAGTTTGTGGATCGCCATGGTGTAAATTCTCCCACCGTGGTTAATGTCAAGCTGTCAATGTTGAGAGATGTTGTATTGTTGCCATACAGATAAAATACATAAGAAGTATTCTTTAGAGTATAGAGAATAGCCCTGGCGGCTGTGGCTTAATGGGTGGAGTGCCGGCCTGTAAACCAAAATGTTGCTGGTTTGATTCCCAGTCAGGGCACATGCCTGGGTTGCAGGCCAAGTCCCCAGTAGGGAGTGTGAGAGGGAAATGATCCAGATGTTTCTCTCCCTCCTTTCCCCTTTCTCTGTAAATAAATAAGTAAATAAAATCTTTCTTTTTAAAAAATAATATAGAGGATAGTAAAATAATTAGAAAGTTATGTTTTTGTTATATTTGTTGTATTATATGTTTTATGTTATGTTTGTTTTTAACACAATTTATACCATAAGTTTATATTATTTAATTTTAAAATGGCGTTTATAAGTGGCTCATAAGATTCCTGAAACTTTAAGATGTGTTCTCACGAGCTGGTCCAACCAGCCCAGTGCACCACTGGATTGGAGCCAGGATCACGGAGCTGGTGGCCAGCACTGGGCGAGGCCATTGCCCAGGGGAACACGGAGAGTGAAAAGAAGAGAGGGGTCAGGACTTAACACTCAGGTCCAGAATCCTGGGCCGCTGCAGCCTTCAAAGGCACGGACACCGGCGAAGGCTGGGAGGGAGCTGTCCAGGGAGGAGGAGAAGCTGGAGCGGAGCGGCAGGGACACCAAGGACATCGAGGACAACTGGGTGAATGCTACAGAGAGGCCAAAGCCCAGAATCGCGGAGCCGGAGCCGGAGGACCGGCAGCACATGGGCTGTTAGGGAACTGCCTGGCAGGGGATCAGGCCTGGGGGCGAAGGAGGGAGGGCCACCCAGGGAAAGGGGCCAGAAGTGTCATTTGATCCGGGTTTTGAAAGATGAGAGGTATCTTACAGGTGGTGGTCAGCATTCCTGGCAGAGGACCTGGCAGGTGGGAAAGTCCAGAGCAGAGAGGGTACAGAGAAAAGCTTACCTTCTGAATCAGGTGAGAGTTCATTTGGCTGCTATACAGAAGTTTAGGCAAAGCGGGTGTTTTTATTCTTTCTCTTAAAGAAGCCCAATGGGTCCTGGCTGAGTGGCTCAGCTGGTGAG